TAAACATATATAAAATTATAAAAAATAAAGTTTGTGTAACATACGTCATTATGCATATTCGCGTAATATAAACAATACAATTGCATTGCTGAAAAAAATTGGTAACTTTTGGCTATACTTGTTATATAACGTGCATAATCATGCATAATCTCGCATAAATGATCTACGTAAATAATACCATTGAATTCGTGGGAAAAAATGATGAAAAATAGCTTTTTTCGCAAAAAAATTCCTTTTTTGGTTAGTCTGAATGCACCTAGCGTGAGAAGTCTTGGCATTTTTAGTGTAGGAAGATAGTTTATATAAATAGCAACTATGTAAAAGCTTGGCATAGAAAAACATTTAATTTTAAACTATCAAAAAGCCGTTCCAACAATAATTAAATATATCTCTTCTAATGAAAGTTGAAATTCTTACTAAGTAATAATTTTTTAATTTTTTTTGCTATATAAAAAAAATGTAGTAGTATCATATAAAAGTATCAAAATATGTAAAGAGCAAGTACAGAATTAATAAAAATTAATTTTCATATTTTTTTACTCATTTTCTTATAAAAATCAAAATATTATTATATAGATCAATAAAAAAATATATAAACAAGTCAACTTATTAATATTTATTATAATTTTGATGTATTTATATATTATATATATATAAAGATTATAAAAGAGTTGTAAATATATATAAAATTAAAGATTAAATAGGATTAGAGTATCTAACTTATATTTGACGAGATGATCGGATATGACTTGGATATGGACAAGTGTGAATATATATAATTTAATAGATCCAATGGTATTGACTAATATCAGAGACAGATAAGATGTTTTAGGCTAATATTAGTAATAAATCAAATGTTATTAGCTAATGTTGATTATATATTATATTTTATTAACTTATATAAGTAGTAAATTAGATGTGATAAATATATATATATAATACAGATTGACTGTTATTGATTTACATATATATCAGATCAGATATCATTTATTTATATATATACTAGATTGGTAGTGTTCAGCTTATATATATATGACATTGACTGTTATCCACTTATATATATATCAGATTGGCTGTGATCTATTTATATATATATCAGATTGGCAGTGTTCAGCTTATATATGTATGAGATTGACTGTTATCCATTTATATATATCCGATTGCATATCATATGTTTATATATAGTTCAGATCACCTGTCATCAGCTTATATATATACTGAATTGACGGTAAACAGCTTATATATCACTGCAAAAGGAGGGCTAATTCAGTATACTAAATCTTGACCAAATACTGTCTGAATGAATAAAATTCAGCATGAATTCGATTGGAATTTATGATGCCAATTTTTTAAAATTTGTGAGCTAAATGAATACAATTAGTATACTGAATTTTAAGAACGCAAAAAGAAAAAGTGTTATATACTTTTATGTGATATATTTTGGTCGTGAAAATTTAAATACACTTTTATCAGACTGCAGACTTTTCATTTTATATTGGTTTTGGGTTTTTTTAAATACAGCACATAACATTTAACATCTTTTTATTACTATATATAGGTTGTTAAAGAAGAGATTTGGTCAAGATTTAGTCAAGATTTAGTCAAGATTTAGATGTTTATGGGTCATTTTACAGGTTTTTATTGGTTTGAAAAAAATTTCTTATTGTTTCTAGCTATTTCTATTCGTGTACATTACTAATCGTCTTCTGTTGCAGTTGGGTAGAAATATCACACTCGATGCTGTTATTTATTTAAGTAGATACTATGTTATTCCTTTTGAACATCCATTGGTCCACCCTTGGTGCAATCGACCCCTACTGTATTCCAGTGCTTGCTGCGGCATGCCTTCTTGGCTTATTTGTTTACTTTTATAAAAAATAACTATAGGGTGGATTAGAAAGAATGTTCTAGGTATATTTATTTAAGAGCGACAGATTATTTAAAAAATATGAATGTACTTATAATAAAGTTAAACATGAGAACAGATGGATATCTTTAACATAAAGATAGATATATCAACGTTTTAATTAAATGTCTCAATTATAGTAATATTGACTATAAAAATAATAACTTTTGTTAATACGATGCAAAGTAAATAAGACTATGCTTTGCTTATCAGACAGTTCAGAAAACAAAAGAGTTGATAAACAGAAAATACAATGACATTTTCTATAAAATATAATCTTTTATTAAAATGAAATAAAGAGTATCAGACTATTTTTTGCTTACCAATTATTCAATACAATAGAAGAGGCAGCATGCAGGAAATGGAGATATTATCTATAAAATAATTTCTTTTCATTAGAATTACATACAAAAAAGTAGAATGATTATTTACTTACTTGTATGTCTGTAGAGAATAAGAGTGTGTGTATAATCAAAAAAAGAGAACCGAGATAAAGACTAGTGACTATAGAGTGTATGGTATACATAAGAAAAATAATAAATACAAGTTGTATCTTGAAGGTGTACATTAATATTTATATAACATACCATTTTGTAAACCCTCCCAAGGTATATGTCTTTGTTATCGGGCCAGAAAAATCTAAGCAGAATAATTAATACATAAATTGTGAATAAATATTCAAGTATATTTTTATTATCTTTTTATCATTATTTGTGAGGCAGTTAAGAAGGACTTGGTGGTTTAAAGCATAGTGTATTATGCTAGAATAAAAACAACAAGATGATTAGGTCTTGAAACTTTGATGTGAGTTGATGCTTACTATGTTAGACATTAAGAAAGAAGTAAAGAAGAAGAAAGAAGAAATTTAAAAAAAAATGGGAGAAATTTAAAATTATAATTTTATGACCGTTGACTCTGAGAAACTGATAGAATCAATTGAGCAAATTGAAAGTCATTCAACTCATCCCGATTGAGACAAGACATTACATACTAAACTATAATCTCTTACATTTTTATAATGATTGTAAGCTATTACAAATGCCTTTCCAAGTCGGCTTATAAAGAAAAGTATAATATAGAGATCAAAATGCTATAAAGAGCATCATCAGAAAAATAATCTTTTGGTGCCTTACTTTCCACTTTTACATATGTTTTGATTTATTTTATTATTTTATAGAAACTCTACTCTAATTATTAAAGTATTCACAATGTTTCCATTTCTTTCATTAGCTTTAAATATCTCAATTCATGTCTTCTAATACGCAGCAAACCAAAAAAACAAAAAAGACAACTACAAAAAAGTCTGTTCAACAAACCGCTGGGACAGCAGCAAGCACAAGACAACGGGAAATTTTTCCCAGCTTGACAGTTAGCTCGGAGCTAGATGGTACTGTCCTGTCCACTTTGTCTACCATGAGCACCCAACTGAATGAATCTCATTCACTTCTGGAGAAGGTCTACCACAACATGGGAGCAACCAATGGCCAGAATAACAATTCAAACCATAGTCCCATCAGTCAGGCTCTTACTACAGAAGAATATATAAAGTACCGCCTTCCAATGGTTTTGGTAGAATATATACTAATAATAGAATATTGCAAAGTTACTTACATTATATTTTGCAGAGATTGATCTATTCTCAAACACGAGCAGTTCTGGCGACAATGCTATTAACGGTCAATGAGGGCGCCTTCTCAATATCCAACTGTCCCATTGCTGATGTAGTGCAGAGCTACACATATCAGCAAGCTGAAGTAAAGTCTGTTTCGTCTGCAGTTATGGAAGAGAAAACCCGAAGATATATTTCGTATATGCTTCAAAGGGCAAAAGCTTTGCCAGAAAAGATAGCTCGACAAAATCGAATTTCTCGACGCCAGTCCAGAAAGAGAAACGTAAGTATAGTCAACAGTTTTTGTGTAAACTATTTTAACTTTTTTTTCAGATTCTTGCAGACTACAAGGCAATTTACTTAGCTGACAAGACAAACCTTGAGTCTAAGTTTGGTGAGACTGTTGTTGACCTTCTGGACTATGACATGTTATTTGATATTGAGTCAGATGAGGGGAAAAATAAAATTAGATATACTCCTAGAAATAGACATCCCTTGGTAAGGCTCTCATGATAAAAGTTATTTTTTTAATACTTCTAACTCAAAAGTATTTATATTATAATGCAGGTAGATGAATACTTTACTGTTTTGAAGAAACAGAGACTTGCTAACAAGGGACCAGACGTCATTGGCAATTCTGTCTATCCAATTATTTTGAGAAACATCAAGTTATTGAACGAGAAAAAGGCATGTGTTGCTGCTTGGATTCACACACGCCAACAATAAATCGTTATTTTGTTTATAAAGTACATATAGTACTTTAATAATTTTTATTAATTGTGTTGAATGATGTGAGGTGAAGTGGTAAAATATAATTAGGCGGTATTGTCAAGATGAGAAGCAATTAATATATAAATAAAAGGAAAAAGAAAAAGACAAAATCAAAAATCAAAATAATAAATTATTATTTTATTTTATTTTATTTTATTTTAAAGCCAATTAATAAAAAAAATATATATACAAAGCAATTATTTAATTATATAACCCTGATTGTTTTATCCTCGTTTTTTTTTATTGGAAATTATAATACCGATATTAGCAAGAATATGTAATAAAGGCTAAGAAAATGGTAAATGTCGGATATTAAATATACAAGTTTTTTTGTCTTTTATATTATTGATAAAAGCAAGAGAAATAAATAATGGTTTTTACTATTCGTTAATAGTTAAAAAAACTGGTAATATAATTTACTATTGCTCTTTTAAATACTTAATAAAGAAGTAATGTTAAAACTTAATAAAAATAAAGAGATAAATAAAGATAAACCTTTTTACAGTCAAAAAAACTCGTATTATAATTATTTATACTAGTAACCTAAATAGTTGTTATTTTTTTTGTTTTTTATATGACTACTTTTCTAGGCAGTGGAATAACCAGGTGCTTTTGCGTCCCACTCTGCATTTTATGTGTAGTCAATGCAAAGCACGAATGCAGACGATGCACTGGAACAATGCACAAAGCATCTTCTTCCATAAATCCCTTGTCTCACAACTGCAGACCTTGATCAGCTAATGGCTGATGACTACTTGAATGGTAGGCGGGAAACCATTTAATGAATGCGAACGTTGACACTCTTTTGACTCCACCGATCTTGATGGTATGAGTAAATAAATACTCTATTTGACCAGGAAATTCAGATACATTGTCATTTGTTCTCTCAAGAAACAATATCCTCACAAAAGACCCGCGCTTCTTCTTTTCACCACTGCAGTACTCTTGCCCCAGCAACGAAATCTTCTTCACCTTTTGAACCCGATTGTTCACAAATACATTCTCACCAATTGGGATTCTCCCTACCACACAGAAGGAAACACTTGTACTCCGGTAAGCCTTGACATAGAATTCAAATAACCACTGATAGTGATCATCCTTCATCATAGTCAAAGGCTGCAACTTGATTGGCAATGTGGTCGGGGGCAAGGCCTCACTTCCGGTGACATTGTATCATGGATTGGTAGCAGCTTGCTGGAACATTGCTAAGCTAAATGGCAACGCAGGAGGGTGGCCAGCATCCAAATTCAATGGAGAAGAGCTGTTGGAATTTGATTTTACTTGGGCAACCCCCTCAAGGAACTTTATCAGTGGTGATGAAAGATTGGTAGAATACGCTCGAAAAAAGCTACCAATGAATGCTTTCTTCAGGAAGACTCTTGTGAAAGTGACCTCAAGACCATTGCGATAGTTTGTCTTGATGTTCTTCAACTTGCCGTTGTATTACTCGAAGCTATACAGCCAGAATGCGTATACTGGACCAAAGTTAAGCATTGACTCACGCAAGTGCATATGCAAGTGTATATTTGGCGTGATGCTGCTCTCTCCATAAAGAGTCTCACACTCTTTTTCAAATTTGCCAAGGAGCTGGTGTGCGCTGTCAATTTCTGAATATGTGACTGAAGGACCGGTCAACTTTTGGCATGCTTTTACAAAGAGAGTCCAGTTTCTGTAGTCGTCTTCAGGCAAAGCGTCTTTTAGTACCACCAACGAATAAATCAGACACCACGATTGCCACTTGTCTGCCTTCATATATGAGAAACCAGATTCAATCTTTGTTGATAAAACGGCATACCCAGGAGGAACAAGAATACCATTGGCAAGACGTTGCATATGGATGAGAACAGCAGTTGGGAGATACCTCAGGTCTTTCCAAACACTGATCATATGCTTTGCTGTCCCAAGAAACAAATTGTGCATGGGATCAACAATCGTGTATCGGATGGGATCAAAGTAGTGCAGGCGATGCAACTTGGAAAAACGGGTGCCATGCTGCTTCTCCAAAACAGCTCATTCTGCATCAGATTCTGCGCAGAACCACGTCTCAGCTTTGGTTGCATTTTCCTCTTTTGTTTGGCAGACCCAGTTCTCATTATCGAATCCAGAATAATTAATCTTACTTGTTCCAGCAACAACAGTGAAATGATGCTTGCACATGTGACAGGCGTTTGTACTTGCAAATCCTGTAAATCCAGCAGTCTTTCTTGCAGCAGGTATGTTGCAAGCAACAAACATAAGAGCAGTGCAGATACTAGTACCATTGGGAAACTCTGGAGTTTTCATAGTTATGCTGTCATATAACTCTACCAGCTCGTCTACCAGAGGTTCCAAGAAGTTGTTCATCTGGTCAATCTTTGCTTCCTTTGGACTACACTGCAAAAACCATTGGGAATTATTATAATAATAGGTTTTGATTATCGGGATATTTTGTCACATAAAAATGAATTACTCGTAAATATTAAGGAAATTATAGTTGACAAGTTATTGAATAAAGTGTCAAAAATAATTGAATATTATCTTATTCCAAAAATAAAAACCGGGAGTTTAGGTATAATGTCTGTATATCAACTGTTCTTGTGGATCAATTATATAGACTATTCCAAATGCAGAACAATGTATTATCTACCACTGATTACACCTGTAATTTGATGTAGACCTTGTTTTTGTAATAACAGGCATAATAACAGGGCACTTCTTTAATGTTTGTTGGCTAAATGAATCAAAGAAAAAATTCTCACAGGTGCAAATGCTAAGCATGAGTCTCTCAATTGGATATTGTTCTGTTTTGTAAAATGATTTTTTTATTTGTTTTTATTTTGGATAAAAAAAGCCTTTTTTTTGGCAATAATAAGAATTCTATATAGTATTACTATTAAATACACTAATCTGTTATATTGTACTTCTTATAAATTTTATTTCAGAATTTTTTGAATTAATAAACTCAGATAGTGAGTATATATGCTTACTGAAGCTATTTGATTAAAGGGAGTAGAAAGATACTTACATACTGTTAGAATAATTTGTTAATAATGGAATAAAACACAGATTTATATTATCAAAAGCTACGAGCCAATGCGTCATTCAAGTATATATTACAAAGAAAGGAATATAAAACATATACATACATATTTACTAAAGGAACATGTCTTGTCCTTGAGTACCGGTCATATAAGAATGTGAAGAACCATTTCAACTATAAAAAAAGAGAGTGAGAATGCTGATATAAAAAAACAAAACAAAATAAAAACAACACAATCATAAAATGAATAACACGTACCCTTATATTCTTTAAATGATTTGTTTTTACTGACCATATGTAAATCAAGGGTGAGCTATATTTAAAGTAGATGTTAGATATTGCTTTTAATACTGGGAAGAAGATGTTGATATAGATATATACGTACATGCCACCAATATGTTTCTGTGTTTTTTTTGTCTGCACCAGTTATATCAGAGAAATATATGTAATAGCTATTTAAAGTAATTTATAGTTAGTAAAATAATGATATATTTAATGGTAAAGTACCTCTTGTATAATGAAAGACACCTGCATCATATGTATATATTAAGGGTGCCTAAAGTGAAACATAGTAGGATTAAAAGAGTGTCATTTTTATTAATATTATTAAAGAGTAGAGAAAAACAGAAAAAGGTGGGAAAATAAAAAACAGTGTTTGAAAAAGCCGTAGACCCTGAAAGAGTTATTAGACTGTTTCTCTTACTTTGAAAAAAAAAATTGTCTACTAATTATAGCTTTATATGTTTCATAAAACAATTGTTACTTACTATATACCTAAAGAAGTTGTTTTCTAGCTCAATTTTTTTAAAATAATATATTTCGATCTCCTCGATCATTTAAATAAAGAAGTATTTACACACTCATACACTTGCTCAACTTGCTCGCTTAATCATTAGCATAATTGTTTAATCACTCAATTACTCTACAATTCTTTACGTGTAAAGTACTCTCTTAAAAATTTATTAAAATAGAAATATCAAGCAATATATACCAGAAACTTATTATTTTATTATATAAAAATACAGATAATGGCTTCAAGAACTAATATCAACCAGAACGCACATACCAATGGATCAACATCTAGGCCATTGATCAACGCAGTCAACACTGGGTGTATAGAATCGTCAAATCCAATGATTGCTCCTAGACCAGAAAATATGTCAATTCCAGTGTCAGAGTTTAATGATGTAGTCAGTCTTCTCACTACACTCAATGACAAAATGACAGACGTTAGTTCCGATGTTAGTGAATTGAAAGGTAATTAAACACAAACTATATTGTTTTCCAATAGACTGACTATTTGAACAGTACAATGCCAGGTGGGTGCTCAATCGACTGGCATGCAAGCCGTTCTGGATTCTGATATGGATCCTCAGGACATCATAAGCAGCTCAAGACACTCAAAGATCTCAGTAAGCTCAAATACTAAAATTATAAAAACAATCTCACTTTAAATCTAACATCAATATACCTTTAATAGAATATTATTCGGGGGCGGTTAAAAGATATTAATCTTAAGACAGATGATTTGGAGTTGATCGGAGAGAATGATGATAAACCAACTTGGGATGTCAATGTTGGTTTGTCTGACGAGTTTAACAAGAATCTTGCAAGTGATTTGATGCTTTACATTCGTCGTCAACCTGTAGCAGCCATAGTATCACCAAAAGAGCTATGTGGTATAATTGTAAACAGCTGTGAAGTTTTATAGAATAAAATCAACAGTAAAAAGATTGAGACGTATATAAGAATACTTTGAGACTGCATATAGGTTGTCTTTATTAAAGAATACAAAGTTGTCTTTTTTATATCAAAACACGATCTGCTTTGTTAGTCACATCTTAATTTCTGAAGTCTGAGTTCATTTAGATATTAGAGAGCTGGTACTGCTATGTTTATAATTTAATCTAATTGCAGTGTCCTCATATTAACTCAGTGCTTACTGAGCTGTCATAATTACAGTACTTGTGGTATTTCAGGTACGAAACAATAGAAAAATAAAATATTTGATAATAGAGACGTATAGAAATACTTTGAGACTGTATATAAGTTCTCTTTATTCATAAATAAAAAGTGTCCCTTTTTATAAGAAAACACAATCTGCTCTTGTCATTACGTCTTAGTTTCTTAAGGCTTTCTTCCTTTACTATATTTGGTTATTAGAGTGTATTTACTGCTTAACTAGTGTCGGTGTTACAATTATGACATCAAGTCATAAATCGTACTTCTTTAGCTCTTAGCTATTCTTTTCTCTTTTATACTAGAGCTTTAGGACTTCCTACTAAATTAGCTCCATATCGATCTGACACAGTTTACCCAGCAGTATGATATAATTATCTTAACAATCTTTAAGATATTATCTACAGTACTAACTGTAATAATTATTGGGCTGATTACTTAATCGTTTATATATATTTTATACCGACAAGATGATAGCTACTACGCTATCCCAATATGAATATGTTCTTATATGTGATAAATCCAACATCCGAGTGTCTGGATCACCACAGTACTTACTGTAATTAATTATTGGTCTTATTGATTTACCATAAGTAAAATAAATAAATTATTCATTTGTTCTTGTAATGATAGCTGTTTTACTATAATAATAGGAATATGTTCTTAGATGTAATAAATCCAACAACCAAGTGTCTGGATCACCACAACAGCTATTATAATCAGTTGGCTGCTAGTAAGCTTACTGAAGAAGACAGACAGACAAACACTACCTCAAACAGAAGAGGAAATAGAAAGACTGCTGTAAGCATTTCTATTTATAATAATTCAATTTTGACAAGTATACTTAAAATATTATATATATCGTAGCTTAATAAAAGGAGAAAAAGAACGTACACAAAGCATAAGGATGCCGTCACTGAAAAGTTTAATCGGGATTATAATGGCGTTTTTTACAGAGATGCAATGTCTGGTGATGAGACAGAAACCAATACTTCTGTTGTTGCATCTCGTCCTGATTGGCGTAGTGATGAGGTAATGTTTTATATAAAATGGTTTTTCTGTTGTTTGATTCCTGATGTATATATACATTTATAGTTGAATACCGTGTTTGACTTTCTTGATGAGCTCGCCAGAGATGACTTGGGAAAAAGAGCAACGCAGTTGAAGTCGCGGAGTCATGTGTTAGTACACAAGACAATTCCTCGTGGCTTGGTCACAAAAATGCCTACGTGGTCAAAACGCGTATAATAAAATTTCTGTCTTTTTAGTTGCACTCTTTATCACATCTCTTTTTATGTCTATGAACTATGTTTTATATTATTATTATTATTTTAAAAAAAAGATAGAGTATTTTATTAAGTGTATAGCTTTCTTGGCAGAGGAATAACAACGACTTTTGCCGCACCACTACCAGACACATGACTTCCAATTGCAATTGGCGACAAGATGTGGTGGACAGGCAGAATGTTGTCGTAGTCATACTTCAGAAATTCTGGCTCATACAACTCGATGCCCTGCTTGATTCTAGGTTGATAGCAAGGAATTTTGTACCACTCAACAAAGGCAAATACGTGTTGGGGGTTGTGACAAGGGGAAAGGTTGGTGTGTGTAAGGTTTGGTGTAAAATCGTGCAAGAACAAGTACTTAATACGACCAGCATATCTTTCCTCAGAGTCTCCACTTTTTTCAATAAATTTTGCTTGTATATGCGATCCTCTCACGACCAAGCCTTCTCCACCTGTGTAAACTTGTCCAAGAAGATTGATGGACGAAATCTTCTGGATTCGGTCATTCACAAACCAACAATTCCTGATTGTTGTCTTGGCACTGCAAAGAGAATCATTGTCATACTCAATTTTATAGATATCGAGCAGACAATCATACTCGGATTTTCTCATTGTTGTTGGTGGCTTCAAACATAATGGTAGAGCGGAAAGAGGTAGAGGTTCGTTGCCAAATGTTTGCTTTGAAGGCTTTTCAGCGGATTGTAAGAACGTTGGCAAGTGAAAGAATGACGGTATCAAAGGATGTGGCGAAAGTGCAGGATTATAGATTTTACGACCAGACAGCTTGAGAAAGAGAGAGAGGAGTAAAGGACTGGTAACATTTCTGAGATGCGCTTGACAAAAGTCACCATTGTAAGAACTCTCAAGAAACCTTTTCATGTAGGTATTCTCGAACCCACTCTTCTGGTTTGTCTCAAACCCTTTCAATACACCATTATAGCGCTCAAAGCTAAATAGCCAAAATCCGTAAATTGGCCCAAAGTCCTCAATCGTTTCTTTTAGATGGAGATGGAGATACATGTTTTGCGTGAATACATCTGGTTTATAAAAGTCTTCACAACCAACACAGAACTCCTCCAAACTTTCGTGAGCTTTTTTGATCCCATTTTTGGTGATACTTGGCTTCGTCAATTCTCTGCATGCATCGACAAAATGAATCCAATTGCCAAGCAGATCATCTCGCAGGCGTGTCTTAAGCAGAACAGGAGAGTATATCAGGCACCATGATTTCCACTCATCTGCCTTCATAAATGGAAATTTCTTTCCAATCTTTATTTTCAGAGTCGTATACCCTACAGGGAGTACTATTCTATTAGCCTCTTCCTGCATCTCTACAAAATTTTTGTCATCAAGCAAATTGTTTGCAATCCAAATATCCATCATTCGTTTTGCAGTCCCAAGAAAAAGGTTGTGCATGGGATCGATAATGGTTGCACGCACTGGCTCAAAGTACACAAGTTGATGAAGCTCAGACCAACGAGCACCATTCTCAATCTCCAATCGCTTTCTCTCTGTCAATGTCTTTGCATTCTTCCACAGGTTTGCATGTCTGCGATTTTCTTCTTTTGTGCAGCCTACCCATTCCGAAAACTTAAGCCCAAAATAGTTTACAGCAGTGGTCCCATCAATACAAGCAAACTGACGATTGCATTTGTAGCATGCATATGTGCTGTTGTGAGATGTAAACCCACACGTCTTTCTTGCAGCAGGGATGTCGCATGCAACCATCAACAGAGCAGCACGCACCAGAGCACCTGAGCAGTTATATGTATCAATTGTGATACCTTAATACAATAGCATAAGTTCATCAAGAAGAGGACGCAAATAGTTATTGATCTCGTCAGTGCTTGCTTCTTTAGGTCCAGTCATCAATCCAACAAGAATGACATTTTCTGCCTTGTTCCGCTCTTCTCTCGGCAGATTGTTAATTGTCAGGTATATCGCACCACAAGAATATGTTACTCCATTAAATGGTTGAAACCAATCAATGTTCAGTGTCAATAGTAATGATCGTTCCTTCAAAACAAACTGGACACCATCCTCATCCACTAATTCGTTCCACATCTTTCCATCATATACATCGAATAAAGTACCGTCAACTTTTGGTTCACGATTCCATCTGTTGATCATACTCTCAAAAGAAGGACGTGTAAACATTTTTTTTCAAGGTAGTTGTCAATGAGCTATAAACAAATGTGCACTTTGGAATCATGGCGTTCTTCATACTAGACTTGTAGAGATCATTCTTACAATGCGTCTTACTACCAACTCTTTTGAAATTGCAGAATATATGTGTGTTGTTGCTGTAATCGTACAATGTGTGACAATTACTGCATGCTACATATTTTGATACGCCGTTTGTCAAGTCATTTTATCCTGTCATTTTCCTCAAACCCAGAATGCTTGTGGGAAGTCGGAAATTCTCTCCATAATGTTTGAGGGTTGTATTTATGAATGTAATCAAAATTACTGCGCCTTCATCCACAATGAAGCTAGAAATAAATATCACAGTGAAAACCGCAATTACTCGATGCCAAATATTCTCTGGAAGGTTTTCTGTAGACTCTGTAAGTTATCATAAAATAATATTAATTTTTTGTTTCTTTAATTCAAACCTTTTTTCTTCAATCATAGTTTATTTTTAATATTTACCCTGTTCTTGCTCTCTGTTCTGTTCTTCTTGCTCAAATTCATCCGACGACTCATATTCAGACTCATACTCTGAGGTATACTCCTCTGTTTCAAAAAGAGATTCTTCCACCAAAAGAGGTAAGTGGGTATTGACATACTGCTCTGGTGAGGGTGCACCATCGGAGTAATTATCATCTATTGGTACCGAGTTTAAATAGAGTGCGCATTGGGTATAAAAAATAAAATACTATTACATTCAATATGTTCTTCAATTTGATCTACGTCCATATCAGCTTCACCAGTGTTTACTTCGGCTGTCAAAACTATTTGTTCTAATAGATTAGAATACATCATATAAATAAATGAAAAATTGATAACTTAATTTACCATTAATGGTTTTATCCATATTCCTGTCATTATCATTCTGGGCATGACGCTTGGCAGTTCTTTTATCTGTCATGGTGTATCCAAGAGGATTGCGATTGCATCTTGTGCATTTGCAACGAACTTCATCGGGATTGGCAATGGAAATCATTTTTTCACTTAATTTTTTTTAATAATAAAGGAAGCGTGTAACAGCCGTTGCTTATTATAATTGTCTTTATTATTTTGAAAAAATTCTCTCAGAGACTCTGATATATATTAGGCCAATGATATGTCTTTAAATATATTCTCGCTGCTAAACACAGGAAATGACTTGGGTTGTAATTTTTTGGCTACTATTATCGATAATTCCAGGTAAGTGGAATTCAATTATTTTAAGGTGTTTTTGCAGTGCTAGGCATGACACCAACAAGGATAATGTTTTCTGGCTTCATTCTTTCTTCCCTAGGCAGGTTGTTCATTGACAGGTACAAGGCCCCACTTGCATGTGTACAACTCTTGAGCAGTTGAAACCAATTCACATTCAATGTCAACATCAAAGAATGGTCGTGATTCACAAAAGGCTCGTCATCTTCATCAAGGAGCTCAGACCACATTGCACCATCATAGACGTCCAACAAGGTACTGTTTAAGGTTTCCCTTGATCTCCATTGAACGATTTGATGCTCGAACCCAGGTTTGGCAAAATGCTGTGCCAATGCATTCTTGAGTGAGTTGTATGGGAAAACCATGAGAGGGACGGCGCGATCAGCTTTGGTGTCAGAGAAAAGAGGATTTCTGCAGTATGTTAGTGGTGTGGTTGTATATTTTTTGAATGTGCAATTTGGTTGGCAATTGCCTGGTAGATAAATTGCAAAGCACTTGTTGCAGACGGTGTATTTGACGATGCTTTTTGTCATGAAATTGTAGCCAGTCATAGTCTTTAATGCATCAATGGTGAGTGGGAGATCAGTATCCTTATCAAAGGCAACAAGAAGATGGCGGAAGAATTTTAACATAGCAGTTCTATCTGCTTGAACCAAGTAAAACGCATGAAAGATAACGCCAAATATAGCCATGAATTGGCTTGTTTGAGACATTTCATGAATTTTCAAAGAAGCAACTACAAAGGCAAGTATTTCTGTTAATTATTTGTAACACAATTTATATATATTTCTTTTTTAAATGTATGCATACCGGAAGCAACCATGTCTTCAAAATCTTCAACACTGGCAACCTCAACTTTGCTCTCATCTTCAGACTCATCGCTTGAATCAGGATCGTCATTGTCAGAAGCCAATGATGTTGTCTTGACATCAGACTCTTTGAATTGAAAAATCTCATCTTCTCTCAAAAAAGATACACTCTGTACAGTAGTTTCGGCTGATACAATAGAATAATTGTTTTCATCTATAGTAAAACCAGACTATTAGCTATCTAAATTATGATTTATTAAAAAGAAATTTTATACTCACAATCAATCAATTTTTCAGATACATCTGCCATCTCAACATCTGTCTCTTCTTCGACAACTTCTGTATTAACTGATAATTAACAAAAAAAAATATTAGATTGCAATTTATCCAGTAATGTGCGTATTACTCAAATGTCATTTACCTCGATTTTTTGGGCCAATGTCTAATAACTTATCAGCATCATTATGACGCTTAAAGGTCTATGCATTTTGCAAAGTTCTGCCAATTGCATTTTTGGTACATGATAAACATGTACATATAACAGTATAGGTTTTAGTTGTAGAATTCATAACAGTAAGAATAATATTAATAATAATAAAATAATAAAGAGGTGTATACTATATTTTATTTTTATCTTTTATATGTCTCTTATTTTTGTCATTAATAATGAGTTGATATATCTTGTTCACTATGTCATTGACTACATTGAGCTTACCGCCCCTATTAGTAAGAATTACAAATGGATTTTGATACAGCAATCTTTTCTTAAAAAAAGTGTTCCTGATTATTAATGGGGCTTCAATTTAATAATCACTGATATAATGGCGTAGTTTTTCTCTTTCGCGTTTTTTTAATATGACATTAATTCTCGGTCATTTTGGCAAGTGGCCTTTTTTGGATTTTTTTTTCTTGTATTTTTTATGACATCAATTCTTGCTCTTTTTTTCAATTTTTTTGATATACTTTCTTATTAAAAATAAGTCATATGTCATACATTATTATATTCTAATAAAAATTAGTATTTTTTGTGATGCAATAAAAATATTATTGAGTCTAAATTAGGTGCATCTGTAACAACAAGTTTTTTCTTCCAGAAAGATAATTAAATACTATATTTAACATTTAATATTTTATTTTTATTTTTTATTTTTCTGCCAAGTCAATCGAAACATATATTTTTTAAGACAATTGTGCGATTTATTGCCTAATTAATAAATATTTGTGTTTGTATCTGTGTTTATTTAATATAATTAGAAAAAATTGCGAATTCACATCTCAAGAAAAAAATATATTGAAAAATGATGGTGTTTGAAATATTTTTCCAAATTTTGCCAAAATTCAAAAAGTAAAATTCGACCGAATCCACCCTCCTTTTGCAGTGTTTAAGTCTATAAAGATGTGGTTTACCAAAAAACTTTCTCCCAAAGGTTTTATTATCTTTGAAGGTAACCTGCAGACATATTCAAACGACAAGAGCCTGTATGCATGTGGATTTATCTCGCGTTTCCAGCAAAGCAAGATAAAAGCTGCAGCAACATTCTATATGGATGCCACCTATAGTATCACTCAAAGATCAAATGACATTCTTTATACTATTGTCATTCGTGATGAAGAACTTGATCGTGGTTTTCCCTGTGCATACATGCTGACCAATGACCATTCTTTGAGTCCCATTGTCCAATGGTGGAAGCACTTGAAAGACAATAAGTTGGTTGCAAACCCCTGGCAGTTTACTATTGACTGTAGTAATGCTAAGACAAATGCACTCATGGCAATCTTCCCTTGATGCCAGATCCAATACTATCTTTTTCACGTCAGTCAAGCATGATACAGACAACTAAACCTGAAAGTCAAGACAGGAAATACTGCTGCCTAAAATTTTTTGGTTCGAAGAGAAATGATGGCTTTTCTTAAGCATATCATATATAAAGAGCATATAGTTGTATTTCTTGACAAGATTGCCGACTTCATTGGAAAATATCAGCAAAGTCAACCTGATTTTGTCTGATACTTTGAGACCAACTGGTATATCATAACTAAGTATTGTGTTTGGAGTAGAGCTTTTCATCAGCTTGAATTGTCTTACATGCTAATAAACAACTACATCAAGTCTTTGCACAACCAGCTAAAAACTCATTTTTTAGACCACAGTCGCAACAAAAGATTTGATTGACTGATTTTCATACTGACAAACGAAGTAGAGTTCTACTTCAAAGAGGAGAGTATCAGAATCAATATGCGCAGTGGCCCAATGACAGCTGCCCAAAGACAACAAAGGAATATAGAGATGTCTACTGAAGCTGTTCCAGCATACATGCGTGCTAATATGATTGTTAGCCCATCAAAAGCAATGTCTCTGAACGCCACTCTTGATGACACTGATGATATTCTTGAAGACGAGTTATGGTTCATCAACTCGTTTACCAAAGATGGTATTACCTATCAAGTTGAAGTTAACAACAATGTTATTCTTTCTTGTATGTGTTATTCTTGGGCTAGGTACATGAAGCCTTGTAAGCATATTCATTTGCTCCGTATCCATATGTCAGGCTTTGCTTTTTTGTCTGTGGCTCCTGCAAATAATGTGCTGCCAATCACAATTTCTGGTGAGCAGTTTGTTAATTACAACACTATGTCAATTGATGGCACAACGGAGAGCACTGGGCGTGGGTATTCCATAGAGGCATTTGAGTATGTAAAGAATTGTTCATTAACAACTGGACATAATGAGCAAGACTTGTATCAACTGATGCAGTATGCTACAGAAGAGGAAGCAGAGGTTATCAGAGCAGCATATGCTGCTCCTATAAAGGCTTTTCAAGAAATCAAAGCTAAATATGAAGCTCATTTTAGAACTTTAAATACACAACGTCATTAATAAAAAAATCTTCTGCTTTATTAACAATTGTTCTCACAATATATAACTATTCCTAAAGTGGTCCGTCGATAATTTCACGCCTCTTTAATTTCACGCTTTGATAATTTCAAGGCTCTGAAGACCCAACTCGAAAAATAGGGCTTAACTTTCACGGTTCTCGTTAATTTCACTTTCACGAAATTTTTTGGCCTTGAATCCTTAAAAAAAAAAAAACTAGCCAATCAGACAAGAGCAATATAGTTACAGTTTGGTTTAATTTTTTTTTAATTCTGGCTTTTCACGATTTTGTAATTGACATCAATGTCAAGTGCGTTAAGTTTTCATGCCAAACACTGGGTTATCAAGTTGTTATCTAGCTTACTTTTTTTAAATTTTTTTTTTATTTTTTTTCAGAAATAAAATAAAACTATATGTGCTATATTTTGATTAAGTTTTATTTATTAATTGTTTAGTAAAAATTATTTACTTGAAAAATATAAATATAATTCTAATTTGTTTTGTTATAAAAGTTTTTATTATAGATTTTATTATTTCTATCTGTCATTACTATTTATTGTTATTTGCAATTGTTATTATTTACAAACATATTACGAAATCAAGCTTTGACTGTACTTGGCTGCTAACTTTTTTTTTCTATTTTTAAATAAAGAAAAATATATTTCTTATAGAAAATTGTTTTTATTTTATTTGAAAAAGAATAAATTTTAAAAAGACTTGAAGAAGCTGGTGACTTTAGTTTGCTTTGAGTTCGCGGTTTTCTGGAACTTGTTTCGAAGGCCTTCAACCTTACTGACCAAGTCTCTGTCAATATCTTCATCTTCCAAGATATCCAAAAGCGTGCAAACACACTCAAACTTTTCCGAAGCAGAATAAGTTCTCTTAAAAGAAACTGCTGATTCCACTTCAGCAGTTTTTTTATTGCTGTTGTTGGCTGCATTTTCATCGGCGTCATGTTCTTCTATCACAATATCTGTGATCTCATTTTCATTGACCACTCTATGAGTGCATTGTCTCTCATAGAGTAGATCAGACTCATTTGTTGGGCAATCTTCCAGAGACAGAAGACCTGATCCAGCAATCTTGTCCAGGGTTTCTTGTAAACCCTCGACAAGAACCTTTTCAGCCAGACTTTGCTGAATCATAGCCTGGTTTACATCTATAAATTATATTTAGAATATTAAGAAAGTGGAATTGAAAGATTATACTACTATTATGACCAATAAATTGCTTTACTACTACCTTCACTATCTTTTTCTTCAATAAAGCAAAAGATTATTGCATTCCAGCAGTTCTTAATAGTCTTTGCCAAGACAGATTCCCAAGCCTCTCTTATCCATTTTATGGCCCACAATTGATCAATTTCAAAGATTTTATCAATTGGCCCGATTTTATCTTGATTGCCATTTTGAATCATGCCAATATATTGATATGCCTTTCCATACTGCTTACACTTGAAATAAGCCTTGAATGCCCGAATAATACCACCATTCAATGGCTGAAGGTAGGAAGTGGTGTTTGGTGGCAAAAAAAGAAGCTCGACGTTTGTAGGTATATAATCAACTATATGACCAGATAAATTGTCAAGAATCAAAAGAACTTTGCGCTTTTGAGCTTTCATGGCATGATCAAAGCAACAGAGGAAAACATAAAAGATTGATCTTGTCATCCAAGCATTGCTATTGTAATGATACATGGAGAATCCATGATCACTTGCTTCTTGCTTCTTGTTGTTCTTGTTGAAGCAGTTTGGTCTTCTTGCATGCCCAATCATCAGTACATTGGACCACTTGTCCGTTCCGTCTGCATTGTGCAAGAGACCTACAGTCAGGCGCTTCTTGTTATCTTTCCAACCAGAAAATTTCTGGTGAGAAATTGTTGTTCTTGGTGGGGCAGCATAAAAGAGTGCTGTTTCATCAAAGTTATATATGTCACGAGCACTATATCCCTCTATCTTCTCTTTGATGGCAGCCTTGTCAATCTGAAGCGATTCTATATCAGTAGAACCAGCCTCACCATGAATTCGATTCATTTTAATGCAATGACGCTTTCCAAACTTCTCCATTCAGTCTTGAGAAGCACTAAAGTTTTTAACGCCTATTCTTTTAGCAAAAATAGTAGCTTTAGTCTTAATCAATTCCCAAGTGATGGGAATCTGATTATTTTCAGCAATGTTGATCTAAAGAATCACTGCTTCTTCAATTTGCTATAGTTGTGTGACAATATAATAAGGTTAATTTTATTTTTTATATGGAGCAAAAATGCATAATGTTGAGATATATTACATACAGGTCATTTCCCCTTTCTAATGCACTTTCTGTTTTTTACATCAGCTTGCATTATCAAGCTCTGGTCTCCTCTCTTCAAAATCTTTGAGATTATAGAAGCATCAGGAGCTTTTTGAAGGCCAAAGGTTTCCTTCGCCCATTCAGCCAATTGGGGGTTACTCATAGATGGCTTTTTCTTTTTAATATCACAAATCTCAAGGTGATTTGCAATATTAAGTGAAACGTTTTTTTTTGCTCATTTTTATTGTTTAGTTCTGGATTTGATAGATTTTATTAAAGTATCAAAAAAAATTGAAAATGATATTAGATAAACATTATATAATAAGCTAAAAGCATACCAAAAAGCTGTTATTATTTGATTGAATAAGAATTTGAAACAATAATTGGTTATGAGACAGGGGGGTAGAAAACAGTAATGCAGCCCGGGGTTATATTTAACTAGAATGAATTTAAACAGAGGATTGAAGCATATCGAATCATTACTTGATATATTTTTTTTCTATTAAAGAATAATGTAAACTCCGCCCATAGTTGGCAGAAAATATATACTCCGGACTCATTAATTTCACTCTTCGATAATTTCAAGACACCTGGCCTTCCCTAGGCCTTGAAATTATTGAGGGACCACTGTATCACCTTCTTAACATTATATATTTGGAAATATATGTAAGTATAAATTTAAGCTGTATTCTTGGCTATCTTAATATGTCATTATTTTGGTTCTATATCTCTGCGTTTTTTTTAAGAAAATGCAAAGATAACATGTGGCTTAATTCTGAAATTCAAATTCTGGTTGTCCGGTATGTAAAAGGTACAGGAAATAAAAAGATTCTAAAAAAGTAATTCCAAATAGACCGACACACCCTTTTTTTAAAAAATGTTTTTCTAAAATTCTGAAATTTTAATATGCTGTAGCTGGAATTTTAAAAATGAGACAATTTTTTTCTGAAATTATATTGCTACAGCCAATATAAAGATATTGCCTTATTTGGGAATAGTAATATTTTTAATTAATATACACAGTTTGTATATGTAGCTCAAATATTGTTATAAAGTTAAATTTATATAATGTGTATTTCGGTGCAATGGTATATTTTTATGCTTTCACTCCCACAGTCAGGGTGTCGTTCCCAATCTGGGTTGGTCTTCCTTTTACTATAACAAAGTCAAAAGGTCAAACCCACTGGGGATCAAGGAGTATACGTAAAATCAAAGAGAGAATAAAACATACTTTTTATTGATATGAATTAAATTGTCTTATATAGTTTTCTAAACTAATATTGCGCATTATCCGCAGTAGTTATTATTTATATTTAATTAAAGAAATAGTCATTATACTGCAGTTAATGCTCAGGAAGATATTACTGCGCATAAAGAAGTACTGCAGTTAACTATCTTTATATTTTACAGATTTGTTGGACATTATTTTGATGAATCCGAGAAATCGGGATAATTGACCGCAGCAGTTCTGTGTGTCAAAGATACCTCATAGATAACGAACCACAGTAATGTCTTGTAAAGATTAACCACAGTAACATCTTCTGAGCATCAACCGCAGTAAAAGGACTTCTCTTGTAATTAAATAGAGTATAATAGTTTACTGCGGATAATGCACAGTATTAGTTTAGAAAACTATATAAGACAATTCAATTCCTATCAATAAAAAGTACCTTTTATCCTCTCTTCGATTTTACATATACTCTCTGATTCCCAGTGGGTTTGACCTTTTGACTTTGCTATAGTAAAAGGAAGACCATCCCAGATCGGGATCTGACCCGTGTCGCCAAAAACTCTCCGACCGGGAATTGAACCCGGGTCTCCCGCGTGACAGGCGGGGATACTCACCACTATACTATCGAAGATCATATAGCAATGAAACGTAATGTTATAATTTTTAAGCCGCAATTAATAAACCAAATTCTACCAAGCTCAGACTTTCTTTTGATAATCCCTTTTAATTTTTCTTCAAAATTTTGATTTCTTTCTTCCATTTTCACAAAATCGCCTTTTTCCAAAAACTGATTTTCTGAAAATTAAAATCTTTCCTTTTTATTTTTCCTGAAATTGTTTTCTGCCTTTTGTTTTTATTTTATTTCTGTGTACTAAATGTGACGCTTCCTCTTAAATACTACTTTAACAAAATTGTTAACTGAATAGTTTTTCCTTTTATTTATAACATATTTTTTCTAATATTTTTCTTTTCTTGTAGATATATAATATAACTTCATCTATTTCTTCTTTTATGATAAAATATTTATATAGTTATTTTTTTTATATTTTTATTTACAATTATCTCATTAAGTTTTATCTAGCCTATTTTTGCCATATATTTTATCCAAAAAATAGTATAAATATCTTTCTAAAATCAATGAATTAACAACTATCAAATTTTTCTGATACAACTTTTCTTTAAGATACTGTCTATTATCTCTGGTCTCTCTTGTGAAATTTTTTCTGTTTTATTTATTTTTTTGTTAAGTCTTCATGGAAGATTGACCATCTCTTTTATTTTATTATTTTGTCCCAATTTCATCTCTTATTTATCTCTTAGTAAATTTATCATAGTAAATTTCCCTTTAATTAAATTCTTTACTCTATTAAACATTTCTTTCTCATAGTTATCTATTTAGTATTAGTATTATTTACTTCACTTCTTTTAGTTTAACTATTTCTCTAATCATTCAAATTATTTATACTCTTACCTTAGTGTTAGTTTCCCTTTTTATTTCTTTAACTGGTCTATTTGGTAACAAAGAGACTATTTTATCATCTCAATCTATCCAATATCAAACCCAAACCCTCAATTCTTCTTTGAAATTCCTCTTCTTATATACAATTATTTTTTCTTATACATCTTCTACACACAACTACATACTACCACTACAAGAATTATATGATTTTATTGAGTAGAAAGTATGCAAATATTGAGCTTAAAGCCGTGATTTCTATGTGATTTTAGGAATGTTACCCGTGAAATATCTAGTATACTTATACCAGATAGATAGAAGTTTAAAATCATGAAGTAAGTATTGTTTTACTGAGTAACAATAACACTTCTTAGTCCATTAATTGTATTTGAATAGAAATAAGGAGTGTATACTCTGTGCTCTTGATACATGTAGTCATTATATTCCATTTTAGATCTTTATTTAATCTAAAAAAAACCAGATATGGATACTGTTTTCGCATCTATACTTTCCCTATATTTTTTTGTATATTTTTTCTCTAGTTATATAATACAAATTTGTGGGAAAATGTATTTTATCATATAAAATCTATAGGAAAGCATTCATTTTAAGCCATTAAAAATACTTCTTTAGTGGGTACACTTTCCTCTTCTTTCATTGTATATTTATTTTTTGTTTTATGATACGAATTTGCGGACAATTATATTTTTATTATATAAAATTTGTGGGAGATCATTCATTTTTGAATCAGACATAAATATTTCTTTAGCAGGAACATTTTTCTCTTTTTTCATTGTATATCAATTTATGGTTTTATAGCACAAATTTGTAGAAAAGTATATTTCTTAGCATTTCACATTTGAGAAATCATACATTTTAAGGAAGCGGTTTTGTATTATTTTGAGTAAATTTTTTTTTGTTTTGTTTATTTTGATATTTGAAAAAGAATATTTTCTTGACGAGTATTCTAGTTTTTTTAGTACATTCATTTTGTAAAACTATTGATTATAACAATACTTTCTACCATATACTATTGAACTGTTATTGTTTAAAGCACTTACACTAATATCTACTTGAAGAGATAGTCAACTATATAACACAAGAAAAGAAAGATATATATATTAAATGATATTATTGAAAATAAAATATAAGAAAATTGATACTTATGGGCTTGATACAATTGTCATAAACTAATAATTGACAGCTAGTAAATACTACGAGATTAAAGCTCTTGGTGTGCTAATTGCTACCAAAAGATATCACATTTAGTATTGTTTATAATGAGTGTATATATGATTTGCTTGTTAAAAAAAACTTACCAGATGTTATTGTTCTAAGAAAATAATACTCGGACCTAATTGAATAATGTTTACAAAGAAAAGATGGATATAAAAGCAAAGTTAGAATACATGTATTTTGTAAAGACATACCACAATATGAGATGTGAATATTATTGTGGGTGGCATCAAAAGGATATAATGGTATCTATATTGTTGGCATTATTAGTAAATAATAAATACTTAAGTAAACATGTATTTATTGGCATGTCTCTAGTTAGATACTTTACCAAAAAAAGAAATATATAACTTGTCCAACTGTTGGAAGACAAAAAGTGGTGAGTAAAGAAGTAAAACATCAAAGTAAAACAAAGAAGCAAAAAAAAAGGAAAATGTTTTACCATATATTTGTGTCAAAAAGTGCAAAAGAGAAAAGAAAGAAAGAAAATAACTTGACTTCAAATATATAGATTCCAAAGAAAAGCGGCAGATAAACAATGTTTCAAAAAAAAGGTGATTAATTTACCCAAAGATATATACTTCTCCGAATTGAAACATATGTAGTTTAAATAATTACTATAGTTGAAAATTTGTAATAAATAGGGATTCAATTTTACTTAATTAACCTCTCTCAATCACCTTCTTTATTTGTATGTATAAATTCAACAGAAACTGTGTCAAGCTTATTTCATTAGCTAACATATATTAATATTTGATTCTATATAGAAAATGAACAACTTCACCTCTAACAGTCCCTCTGAGAATAACTTTGTGCATGCGGCTATTGCACGTAACATCATGCCCAACAACAATACTGGTCTGACATTGGTTATGTATACACCTACCATGAGACCGGCAGGTAGCCATGTTGATGATAATGTGGCCGATCCAGTTCTGGCAATGCTGGCCAGTCTTAATGCTCAGATGAAGAGTCTTACAGACCAAATTGCAAGCATGGCCACCAGTATCACCAGGTCCAATGATATCACAACTCATCTTCAGGAAACAGTAGCAAATATTGTTTCTGGTCAAACTGTTGTCCAGAATACTGCTTCCAGATACAATGTTACATCAGACATTGAAGCGGTCACTGGTCTTTCATCATTGATGGAAGATGATTATGTGCCTGGAAAGAGATATCCAGCAATCTCAATAAGATTTGATTTGAGAATAATGGTCAAGACATCTAACACTTTTCTCATAGAAATTGATCAATGGGTATCTGAAAAAGTGGAACTTCAGCAGTAGTGACTGAAGAAAAGTAGCTGCAAATGCCACAAAGCTAGAATGGGTCCTTATAAGCTACTTTACAGATGGCTATAACCATGGTCTTGCACTAGCTCTAACTGCATATTTGCAGATCCAACCCCAATCTGCTGGCATACTTACAAGGGAACTTGCATGTATGGTAAAAAACCATTTTTGCAACCAGGTCCATGAGTCCCGCAGAACGCCTTCATCTGCAAACAGAAAAAGAACTGCATCAAAAAGACATTAGCGTGGTTTGTTAGTAAGTGTCTAATTAGATATGTATATATATATTATTTAATACTCACTGTTATTTTTTAAATGTATGTACAGCTTCTTTGCCAGCGTTCTGTGTGTTGTGGTGATTGAAGTTGAAGAAGTTTTTAAGAAGAAGAATTAAAGATTTGAGATGAGGAACGAAGATTTGTGAGAACTTGTGTAGGGTTTATTTATTGAAAAAGATTTGATATCAAAATTTGAAGAGGTTCCTACACTGAACTACTACTGCTATTTATATTATTTTGGATTGGGAAAATTATATGACTGGGGTCAGGTAATCGATCTTATCTGAGTCTTAATCAAAGCAATGTGATCTTGAGATAATTAATATATGATTAATTATATAAATGTGTGTAGTCCCAATGAAGTATTAATATCGAAAGTAAATGTGTTTAAGAGTTATAATTATGCTTATAATAATCCACTGATGTATCCCATATTATGGTGATATCATCATATGAAATATAATCACTATCATGCATGCTAAACCTGTGTGTTAAATAATACAGTAATTGGTAGACACCTTTGACTGGAATAGCTGAGGCCTTATGTTATTTCCCTCAGACTTATTCTCAATTACAGCAGTAGTCAATACTCATTTACAACAATCTTTAAAAAATATGCTGAGTAAGAAAAAAATCATGCTTGATATAGTAATAGTGATAAAATTTCTGTCTACCATCCATATCACTATATTGATCTTTGACTGTATTGCTTTAATGGTTTATTTGTACTACATCTCACCTTTACTGACCACCTACACATCTACTGACATTTCTTTCACTTATGGTAATTTCTAACAGTCCAGCTGTTTCTATTGGTTTAGAGTTCCAATTTTAAGTTGAACCTGTTAAGGCTCAGATTTGGGTGTACGAATTTGATATAAATGAGTCAAAAGTAGATTAGTGTAATGTTTTAAGTGTAATGATAAAATTTTAAATGGTACAAAAATCTGAAATGGGGTGAAAAAGCAAAGAGAGCTGGAAAAGAAGAGATTTTATTGGACAAACCCCATTGGAAAAAATACTTTTTTTTTGATAAGTAATTTTTTTAATAGATTTTTGTAATGTTCATCAACATCCACCAGAACATGCCAAATTTTGCAATGTTGAGAAACTTTTAGTTATTGGAAGAGCCGACAGACAAGTGAATATCAACAGTCTGAACAATGTTAATGTCATCTTTATTGACTTTGACCTGGCCTCCAAGGGGCAGAACCACAATGCTGTTGTAATTGTTCATTACCACGGCTGGGGTATAGATGTAATTTATATTGCTGTTTGAAACAATTTGGTACTTTTGCATAAAGAACGCCTTCCTCATTCTGTCTGCAGAGTCTCTTGCTTGAACGATATTTACCTGACCAAGGAATAATTGACCATTTGATTGAAAAACATCTGCAAGTGTATCGCACAAACACTGCAAAAACCATTGGGAATTATTATAATAATAGGTTTTGATTATCAGGATATTTTGTCACATAAAAATGAATTACTCGTAAATATTAAGGAAATCATAGTTGACAAGTTATTGAATAAAGTGTCAAAAATAATTGAATATTATCTTATTCCAAAAATAAAAACCGGGAGTTTAGATATAATGTCTGTGTATCAACTGTTCTCGGGGATCAATTATATAGACTATTCCAAATGCAGAACAATGTATTATCTACTGCTGATTACACCTGTAATTTGATGTAGGCCTTGTTTTTGTAATAACAGGCGTAATAACAGGGCACTTCTTTAATGTTTATTGGCTAAATGAATTGAAGAAAAAATTCTCATAGATGCAAATGCTAAGCACGAGTTACTCAATTGGATATTGTTTTGTTTTGAAAAATGGTTTTTTATTTGTTTTTATTTTGGATAAAAAAAGCCTTTTTTTTTTGGCAATAATAAGAATTCTATATAGTATTACTATTAAATACACTAATCTGTTATATTGTACTTCTTATAAATTTTATTTCAGAATTTTTTGAATTAATAAACTCAGATAGTGAGTATATATGCTTACTGAAGCTATTTGATTAAAGGGAGTAGAAAGATACTTACATACTGTTAGAATAATTTGTTAATAATGGAATAAAACACAGATTTATATTATCAAAAGCTACGAGCCAATGCGTCATTCAAGTATATATTACAAAGAAAGGAATATAAAACATATACATACATATTTACTAAAGGAACATGTCTTGTCCTTGAGTACCGGTCATATAAGAATGTGAAGAACCATTTCAACTATAAAAAAGGAGAGTGAGAATGCTGATATAAAAAAACAAAACAAAATAAAAACAACACAATAATAAAATGAATAACACGTACCCTTATATTCTTTAAATGATTTGTTTTTACTGACCATATGTAAATCAAGGGTGAGCTATATTTAAAGTAGATGTTAGATATTGTTTTTAATACTGGGAAGAAGATGTTGATATAGATATATACGTACATGCCACCAATATGTTTTTGTGTTTTTTTTTGTCTGCACCGGTTATATCAGAGAAATATATGTAATGGCTATTTAAAGTAATTTATAGTTAGTAAAATAATAATATATTTAATAGTAAAGTACCTCTTGTATAATGAAAGACACCTGCATCATATGTATATATTAAGGGTGCCTAAAGTGAAACATAGTAGGATTAAAAAAGTGTTATTTTTATTAATATTATTAAAGAGTAGAGAAAAACAGAAAAAGGTGGGAAAATAAAAAACAGTGTTTGAAAAAGCCGTAGACTCTGAAAAAGTTATTAGACTGTTTCTCTTACTTTGAAAAAAAAATTGTCTACTAATTATAGCTTTATATGTTTCATAAAACAATTGTTACTTACTATATACCTAAAGAAGTTGTTTTCTAGCTCAATTTTTTTTAAAATAATATATTTCGATCTCCTCAATCATTTAAATAAAGAAGTATTTACACACTCATACACTTGCTCAACTTGCTCGCTTAATCATTAACATAATTGTTTAATCACTCAATTACTCTACAATTCTTTACGTGTAAAGTACTCTCTTAAAAATTTATTAAAATAGAAATATCAAGCAATATATACCAGAAACTTATTATTTTATTATATAAAAATACAGATAATGACTCCAAGAACTAACATCAACCAGAACGCACGTACCAATGGATCAACATCTAGGCCATTGATCAACGCAGTCAACACTGGGCGTATAGAATCGTCAAATCCAATGATTGCTCCTAGACCAGAAAATATGTCAATTCCAGTGTCAGAGTTTAATGATGTAGTCAGTCTTCTTGCTACACTCAATGACAAAATGACAGCCGTTAGTTCTGATGTTAGTGAATTGAAAGGTAATTAAACACAAACTATATTGTTTTCCAATAGACTGACTATTTGAACAGTACAATGCCAGGTGGGTGCTCAATCGACTGGCATGCAAGCCGTTCTGGATTCTGATATGGATTCTCAGGACATCATAAGCAGCTCAAGACACCCAAAGATCTCAGTAAGCTCAAATACTAAAATTATAAAAACAATCTCCCTTTAAATCTAACATCAATATACCTTTAATAGAGTATTATTCGGGGGCGGTTAAGAGATATTAATCTTAAGACAGATGATTTGGAGTTGATCGGAGAGAATGATGATAAACCAACTTGGGATGTCAATGTTGGTTTGTCTGACGAGTTTAACAAGAATCTTGCAAGTGATTTGATGCTTTACATTCGTCGTCAACCTGTAGCAGCCATGGTACCACCAAAAGAGCTATGTGGTATAATTGTAAACAGCTATTACAATCGCTTGGCTGCTAGTAAGCTTACTGAAGAAGACAGACAGACAAACACTACCTCAAACAGAAGAGGAATTAGAAAGACTGCTGTAAGCATTTCTATTTATAATAATTCAATTTTGACAAGTATACTTAAAATATTATATATATCGTAGCTTAATAAAAGGAGAAAAAGAACGTACACAAAGCATAAGGATGCCGTCACTGAAAAGTTTAATCGGGATTATAATGGCATTTTTTACAGAGATGCAATGTCTGGTGATGAGACAGAAACCGATACTTCTGTTGTTGCATCTCGTCCTGATTGGCGTAGTGATGAGGTAATGTTTTATATAAAATGGTTTTTCTGTTGTTTGATTCCTGATGTATATATACATTTATAGTTGAATACCGTGTTTGACTTTCTTGATGAGCTCGCCAGAGATGACTTGGGAAAAAGAGCAACGCAGTTGAAGTCGCGGAGTCATGTGTTAGTACACAAGACAATTCCTTGTGGCTTGGTCACAAAAATGCCTACGTGGTCAAAACGCGTATAATAAAATTTCTGTCTTTTTAGTTGCACTCTTTATCACATCTCTTTTTATGTCTATGAACTATGTTTTATATTATTATTATTATTTTAAAAAAAAGATAGAGTATTTTATTAAGCGTACAGCTTTCTTGGCAGAGGAATAACAACGACTTTTGCCGCACCACTACCAGACACATGACTTCCAATTGCAATTGGCGACAAGATGCGGTGGACAGGCAGAATGTTGTCGTAGTCATACTTCAGAAATTCTGGCTCATACAACTCGATGCCCTGCTTGATTCTAGGTTGATGGCGAGGAATTTTGTACCACTCAACGAAGGCAAATACGTGTTGGGGGTTGTGACAAGGGGAAAGGTTGGTGTGCGTGAGGTTTGGTGTAAAATTGTGCAAGAACAGGTACTTAATACGACCAGCATATCTTTCCTCAGAGTCTCCACTTTTTTCAATAAATTTCGCTTGTATATGCGATCCTCTCACGACCAAGCCTTCTCCACCTGTGTAAACTTGTCCAAGAAGATTGATGGACGAAATCTTCTGGATTCGGTCATTCACAAACCAACAATTCCTGATTGTTGTCTTGGCACTGCAAAGAGAATCATTGTCATACTCAATTTTATAGAAATTGAGCAGACAATCATACTTGGATTTTCTCATTGTTGTTGGTGGCTTCAAACACAATGGTAGAGCGGAAAGAGGTAGAGGTTCGTTGCCAAATGTTTGCTTTGAAGGCTTTTCAGCGGATTGTAGGAACGTTGGCTAGTGAAAGAATGACGGTATCAAAGGATGTGGCGAAAGTGCAGGATTATAGATTTTACGACCAGACAGCTTGAGAAAGAGAGAGAGGAGTAAAGGACTGGTAACATTTCTGAGATGCGCTTGACAAAAGTCACCATTGTAAGAACTCTCAAGAAACCTTTTCATGTAGGTATTCTCGAACCCACTCTTCTGGTTTGTCTCAAACCCTTTCAATACACCATTATAGCGCTCAAAGCTAAATAGCCAAAATCCGTAAATTGGCCCAAAGTCCTCAATCGTTTCTTTTAGATGGAGATGGAGATACATGTTTTGCGTGAATACATCTGGTTTATAAAAGTCTTCACAACCAACACAGAACTCCTCCAAACTTTCGTGAGCTTTTTTGATCCCATTTTTGGTGATACTTGGCTTCGTCAATTCTCTGCATGCATCGACAAAATGAATCCAATTGCCAAGCAGATCATCTCGCAGGCGTGTCTTAAGCAGAACAGGAGAGTATATCAGGCACCATGATTTCCACTCATCTGCCTTCATAAACGGAAATTTCTTTCCAATCTTTATCTTCAGAGTCGTATACCCTACAGGGAGTACCATTCTATTAGCCTCTTCCTGCATCTCTACAAAATCTTTGTCATCAAGCAAATTGTTTGCAATCCAAATATCCATCATTCGTTTTGCAGTCCCGAGAAAAAGGTTGTGCATGGGATCGATAATGGTTGCACGCACTGGCTCAAAGTACACAAGTCGATGAAGCTCAGACCAATGAACACCATTCTCAATCTCCAATCGCTTTCTCTCTGTCAATGTCTTTGCATTCTTCCACAGGTTTGCATGTCTGCGATTTTCTTCTTTTGTGCGGCCTACCCATTCCGAAAACTTAAACCCAAAATAGTTTACAGCAGTGGTCCCATCAACACAAGCAAACTGACAATTGCATTTGTAGCATGCACATGTGCTGTTGTGAGATGTAAACCCACACGTCTTTCTTGCAGCAGGGATGTCGCATGCAACCATCAACAGAGCAGCACGCACCAGAGCACCTGAGCAGTTATATGTATCAATTGTGATACCTTTATACAATAGCATAAGTTCATCAACAAGAGGACGCAAATAGTTATTGATCTCGTCGGTGCTTGCTTCTTTAGGTCCAGGCATCAATCCAACAAGAATGACATTTTCTGCCTTGTTCTGCTCTTCTCTCAGCAGATTGTTAATTGTCAGGTATATCGCACCACAAGAATATGTTACTCCATCAAATGGTTGAAACCAATCAATGTTCAGTGTCAATAGTAATGATCGTTCCTTCGAAACAAACTGGACACCATCCTCATCCACTAATTCGTTCCACATCTTTCCATCATATACATCAAATAAAGTACCGTCGACTTTTGGTTCACGATTCCATCTGTTGATCATACTCTCAAAAGAAGGACATGTAAACATTTTTTTCAAGGTAGTTGTCAACGAGTTATAAACAAATGTGCACTTTGGAATCATGGCGTTCTTCATACTAGACTTGTAGAGATCATTCTTACAATGCGTCTTACTACCAACTCTTTTGAAATTGCAGGATGTATGTGTGTTGTTGCTGTAATCGTACAATGTGTGACAATTACTGCATGCTACATATTTTGATACGCCGTTTGTCAAGTCATTGTATCCTGTCATTTTCCTCAAACCCAGAATGCTTGTGGGAAGTCAGAAATCCTCTCCATAATGTTCGAGGATTGTATTTATGAATGTAATCAGAATTACTGCGCCTTCATCCACAATGAAGCTAGAAATAAATATCACAGTGAAAACCACAATTACTCGATGCCAAATATTCTCTGGAAGGTTTTCTGTAGACTCTGTAAGTTATCATAAAATAATATTAATTTTTTGTTTCTTTAATTCAAACCTTTTTTCTTCAATCATAGTTTATTTTTAATATTTACCCTGTTCTTGCTCTCTGTTCTGTTCTTCTTGCTCAAATTCATCCGACGACTCATATTCAGACTCATACTCTGAGGTATACTCCTCTGTTTCAAAAAGAGATTCTTCCACCAAAAGAGGTAAGTGGGTATTGACATACTGCTCTGGTGAGGGTGCACCATCGGAGTAATTATCATCTATTGGTACCGAGTTTAAATAGAGTGCGCATTGGGTATAAAAAATAAAATACTATTACATTCAATATGTTCTTCAATTTGATCTACGTCCATATCAGCTTCACCAGTGTTTACTTCGGCTGTCAAAACTATTTGTTCTAATAGATTAGAATACATCATATAAATAAATGAAAAATTGATAACTTAATTTACCATTAATGGTTTTATCCATATTCCTGTCATTATCATTCTGGGCATGACGCTTGGCAGTTCTTTTATCTGTCATGGTGTATCCAAGAGGATTGCGATTGCATCTTGTGCATTTGCAACGAACTTCATCGGGATTGGCAATGGAAATCATTTTTTCACTTAATTTTTTTTAATAATAAAGGAAGCGTGTAACAGCCGTTGCTTATTATAATTGTCTTTATTATTTTGAAAAAATTCTCTCAGAGACTCTGATATATATTAGGCCAATGATATGTCTTTAAATATATTCTCGCTGCTAAACACAGGAAATGACTTGGGTTGTAATTTTTTGGCTACTATTATCGATAATTCCAGGTAAGTGGAATTCAATTATTTTAAGATGTTTTTGCAGTGAAAGTGGGGGTTGACAACCTGGAATTGTCACTGTTGACACAAGAACCAAAGAAATAGAGATTAAAACCTGGGAAATTGACAGGGGCCAGCTTGACAAAATCACCAATTGAACTTCTCACAGATCTTGTTCCATTACCAGCTGATCTCTCTATGACATACAATCCTCCATTACAAAGATGCCGACAGATGAATTGCTTGCCAAATCTTGTAGTGACGTCTCAAGAGGTGGAATGGTAGTTGGTCTTGAATAAATGTTTGTGGATAAACTTATTGAACTGTTCACTGTTTTCAGTTTCGTATTGCAGCACGGAACCGAAACAAACTATGTTGTCAGTGATATGATACAGAAGGTGGACCTTTGGCTTGAACGTGAAGTCTTGCTTAGAAAATCCTTTTTGGAGAATCTGGACATCCAGTTGAAAAAGCAGATCCGTTACATCAGTGACAGCATGTTTTATCTGGGCAATATAGTAGTTGAAGCACCAGTCAACTCCACACATGTACACCAAAGACGACAGGCAGCCTAATGCATGCAAGGCTTTAATGAACAAACTTGCCAATGGTTTATCACTAAAGAGCTTGCTCATAATTCCAGACAGGACTTGAATCAATTCCTTGAAATTGCGTCCAATGAACAAACCAGTGTGGCAAAACTTGTTCCTGAATGTTCAGCTGTAACTCTTACAAGACTTGTAAAAGTTTAAAGCTTCCTAGAGTCTCCCTTTTTCACTTGTAGTCAGCATCTTATGTTTCCAGAGAAAAGTTATTAAGTATTTTGTCAGGCTAAGAGGAATAATATGGAGAATTTTGATAGGCATGTCTTTGGTAGGGTCAAAGGCTTTGAGTCTAAGAAATTCCTCACTTCCATTCTTGATATAACTCAATTTGCACCCATTGAGATATAGCTCTGACTGGGAATTGGCATTGGCAAAGGCACACAAGACATTCCTCATTCTTTCTTCTGACCCATAGTGGTTAATTGGAGAATACAGCAGAGTGTTGGGATAGAACTTTGTTTAATACGAGGCGAAGGTATGAGGCATTTTTGGCAAAACTTCTTGGCAGATGTTCCCTTATGCATGGCAAGCTGAGATTGACGAGGGTTGTCACCTGTTGTAAATGAGTATTAACTACTGCTGTAATTGAGAATAAGTCTGAAGGAAATAATATAAGGCTTCAGCTATTCCAGTCAAAGGTGTCTACCAATTACTTTATTATTTAACACACAGGTTTAGCATGCATGATAGTGATTATATTTCATATGATGATATCACCATAATATGGGATACATCAGTGGATTATTATAAGCATAATTATAACTCTTAAACACATTTACTTTCGATATTAATACTTCATTGGGACTACACACATTTATATAATTAATCATATATTAATTATCTCAAGATCACATTGCTTTGATTAAGACTCAGATAAGATCGATTACCTGACCCCAGTCATATAATTTTCCCGATCCAAAATAATATAAATAGCAGTAGTAGTTCAGTGTAGGAACCTCGTCAAATTTTGATATCAAATCTTTTTCAATAAATAAACCCTACACAAGTTCTCACAAATCTTCGTTCCTCATCTCAAATCTTTAATTCTTCCTCTTAAAAACTTCTTCAACTTTAACCACCACAACATCACCCATAAAGAGCAACAGGGGTGCAACGACAAGAACTACTTCACCATAATTCTCAGAATACATCTCAACACCTTTCTCCAGCCTAATGAGGTCATCGACAATAGGAGGCAACATCTCAATGGCATTCAGTGTATGATTCGAGATACAAATGAAAAGAGCATTTTCTTGTTTGTTTTTTGTCTCAAGTGGCAACACAGCAAAGTACATTAAGTAACTGTCATACTTGTTGTACTGCTTTGTTGAATTACCAGAGGTATCGTCAGAATAGAGATTAAGTGGGCAGACAACTACTTTCATCAAACCAGAGTCTGGAAGTCTTCTCTTGAATTCTTCAACACGAGATTTGTTGAGCCACAAGTCAGATTGAACACCAGTAAGAGCATAGGTGACAATTTTGGCAGGGCAATAAGAAACAGAGAAACCATGTCCAAGGAAAAGATCACTGTCTTTTTGAACAGTAGACATAATCCTATCAACTTCAATAGTATACTTCAGGGTAGAGACAGTAAAGTTCATAGAGTTTCCAAACCGCAGGAAGTGAGTATCATCAGGATGTTTCAGCCAAGGATCATGACCACCATAAACCTGGAACGCATTGGCAAGTACGGATCCGTCCTTGGTGAAGAACTTCTCAAGGAGATACCGGTTTGGGGAGCCTTGGACTTCGACAACATCACCCACCCAGTAGTTCATTCCGTTTGAAGTGATCATTGGGTGCTGAAGCAATGGGTTTTCCTTCCACTTTTCATCTTGGTTGAGATTCAACCACTGGTTTTCTGTGAAGTCAGAAAGGGCCGAGATTTGAGATGATTTTCTGGGGAATGTCATGATAAACTTGATGTAATCGGACAGTTTGTTCATTCAAAGTACATGTCGTTCATTGTCTTGGTTCACAACATCGAAACTGGCAGTAGAAAAAACAGGGATCTGATTCTTTTTCTGCTTGTGATAGTTAATCACAGCATTTGGTGTTGGAAAATCCAGTGCTACTCCAGCTTCTTCACGGACATCTAAGACCATCTTCATGGCAAACATGATTTTCTTGATAGATCTTTCTGAGGCAAGATCTTAATTGCCGTAGAAGAGAGCATATAAGATAAACTCTACTTTCAATTTAAATGGATGGGTGAGTCCAGTAAAAATGTCAGCAAAGTCATTGGGCCGGTATGATGTCTGTCTGCTGCTGTCTTCGTTCAAGTAGACATTCATGGCATGAGAAAGAGATTAGAAGGTTCTCATTTCTGCTGCCATTCTAGCAATATGATCTTGGCTATCATATTCTACCCTGGTGTCCATGTCTTTGTCGTCAGCACAACAAAAATTATATGATTTCCCCTTGAGAAACTTTGGTTGAATCAAAGGGAAATTTTGATAATATTTCAACTCCACAGGGTTTTTTACTTTTGGTGGCAACAATTTAATTGGGCCAATTCAATTGGATATAGCATATGCTATGCCTTCCAACATTTATTTTGACCAGTGCTTTGCCCTGTCACCAACTTATAAAAAAAACTTTTACTTTGATATTAAGACTAGACCGATTGTATTTTAAAGACTATAAAAAGAAGTTTAATTATATGCTTTTATTACTTTGACTTTTGTAATTTTTGTAAATGCTATTGTGGTTATAGAACTGTAAATATATAAAGACACAGATAAATGGGGTTTTATTTCGCAGATATTCTGTATATATATAAATTTTTTAAAAGAAAATATAAAACTGAAACATTTTGTTCGAATATATTGGTTTTACATTTATAGAAAGCGATATGATATGACATGGTTGACAAAAATGGGAACCAATCAGTATAACATGGAGGAGATATGTTAAAAGGGATTACCTATTGGATATCTGATTTAAGGATTTCTAGCTACGATGGAGACTCTGATATTAAAATAGGAAAGTCTATAAAAATAAACTATGTTACTGAATAATTTCTCTTTTTTGCAAATTTCATAAACGCAACCCAATTCCTAAAATGTCTAATAATCAAGTTGAATGCAGTTGCTCAGTATGCTCTCCAAATAGCAGATACTCTGTTATGGTCTCTTTCCAGACACACCGTAGACATTTTGCAGATGATGTACAAAGATATTTCCAAAGACAATTTTGTATGTATAAAGCTATCTTAACATTTTATTTTACATGATAATTTAACACATTTATATAATACAGTGCTATCTGCAGAAGCACTAGACATGGTAAATAACGATGCTAATGACATGGAGATTGATGCCGAGACAAATATTTCTGAAGATCTTGAATGTAATTATATTTTTTTTGCAAGTTTTATAAGCTCTTTTAATTCTAATTATTCAACTCTTTCTATTATAGTTGTTCACGACTTACCTGGTTCTAACAACAAGGATTTGTCCAACTCTTACGAATTTAATAACGAATCTGAAAACATTGAAGGTTAGTATAAAAAGCAGATAAGAGAAATACCTTGAAATATATTTTAGATATTAATATAACTATGCAATAGAACAATTTTTTAGCCATGAAATGCCAGCAGATCTAACTCACGCTTTCATCACATCCTTTGCTGCATATTTTATATCCAAATATGTGGTCAATTCTGGTGGTACTATCTTTATCAAGTTTATCAATGAGGTGCTGGCACACTTTGGACAATCATTCCGCCTGCTGTTGAGTCTGAAGCATTTGAATTCATTGATGGGTCTAAGTACATTGACTGCAGGCATCCATCGCTTTGTAGCATGTGGCGAATGCCATAAGATTTTTTCCGAGTCAGCATCCAAGTCCATTCCCCAGTGTTGTGACTTCAGAAAGTTGTCCGGAAACACATGTGGAAACAATTTGTTTTTGGAAGCCCCCAATAGCTTGGATAGACCAAGAAAGGTCTACATGTACAACTCGATAATAACAGCATTGTCCATCTTCTTTTTGCATCCTGGATTTGAGAGATCAATCAACCTCTGGAGATTCCGACAACAAGTATCAGGAACTCTGTTCAATATGTACGACGGGGCAAAATGGAACTCATTGAAAGATAATACTGGTCAATAATTTGTAGTACATAAACGTTCCATCATGCTGACACTTAACATTAATTGGTTCCAGCCCTTTGATGGGGTTACTTACTCTTGTGGCGCAATCTACTTGTCTGTAAACAATCTTCTCAGGGAGAAAAGATACAAGAAGGAGAACGTCGTTTTTGTGGGACTTATGTCAGGTCAAAGCGAAGCCAAAACAAGCCAGATAAACCATTATCTTTGCCCTCTTGTAACCGAGCTAAACCAATTGTATTCTGGTGTTGCTATTCCAACAAATGAGTGTCCTTCCGGTACCTTGGTCCATGCCGCAATTCTTCTTGTTGCTTGTGACATCTCAGCTGCAAGGAATACATGTGGATTTACATTGCATGCCAGTACTAACGCATGTCATATATGCAACTGCCAGTTTTCTCATCATTTGGATGGCAAGGGTATGGCCCATTCCAGTTTCATATTCTCTGATTGGATTTTCAACACTGACAAAAAGAACAAAAGCAATGCAGAGAGATGGAGACAAGCTGGTAGCAATGCTGAAAGAGCAAGATTAGAGAAAGAGAATGGTGTCTGCTGGTCAGAGCTCCATTAGCTTCAATACTTCAATACAGTCGAGTATACCATCATAGATCCAATGCATAACCTCTTCCTTGGCACAGCAAAAAGGATGATGGAGAAATGGAGAGAAGAGGGTCTTATTACCAGCAAGCACCTGGCCGAAATGCAGCAAGACGCAGACAGTATGATAATTCCTCTTGGCATCACTCCATTGCATAACAAAATTGGAAAGGGCTTTCTATTCATGAAGGCAGACGAATGGAAGTCCTGGTGTTTGGTTTACTCTCCCGTTCTCCTAGCTGATCATTTACTATCAGAAGACCTGTCTGACTGGATGGAGTTTGTTCATACGTGCAAGTACTTGGCAAGACCAAATATAACTGTCAAAGACTTGTCACATGTGCATGATTTTTTGGAGTCGTTTGGTCAAAAGTGTCAGGTTAGGTTCGGGAAGGATTTCATATCGCCCAACATGTATCTACACCTGCATCTCAAAGAAACCGTCCTCAACTTTGACCCTGTGTATGGGTACTGGCTCTTCAGCTTTGAGAGATACAATGGTGTATTAAAAAACTATGCTACAAATAACAAAGATGGATTTGAAGGCACGTTCATGCGAAGATACCTTGAGGACATGCACAAGATAAATCTTTTCCGTACAACAATGCAATCTCTCCAGACCCCCTCTTAAGTCTCTTTGATATATGAGCTCGTTGATTCATTTCCAACTCTTGTCACTGTCACTGCTGCTACCACTACCACTATTGTCCCCGTTGCGCCGTACTTGCCAACCACTTCTTCTGGTTTCACTCTGAAGACCTTCCTTGATTCTGCTGAAGTGAACATTGACAATGTCAAAGGCAACAAGCCATTGCCTCCATCCACTTTCCCTCTCGGTCTTGGTGAGTTTGTGCAAATGCAAGAAGATGAGTACGCCTATCTGCTCAAATACTATGGCACAGCATATTGCGATGCTTCACTGAGAGGTTACTGAGAAGCAATTTTTGGTCAACTTTTTGTGAACAACATGATTCAAAAGATGCAGTCGATAAATCTTCTTGGCCAGGTGTATACAAGCGGTAATGATGTGGTTTGACGTGGCTCAGTCATACAAGCCATGTTTCATGAAAACAATAATCGTGAAATGAGCGCATTTACAGGCCAGATCCAATATCTTTTTGTCACCAATATCATCAACCCAGTTACGTATCAAGTGGACAGACATACATATGCATATGTCAGGTGGTATAGAACGTCTAGCCAGGATACAAGAAGTGAGCAGTTTGTAGAGATGAGCGAATTTTCATTTATAAGAAGCGATTTTTATAACATCTTACCTGTTCACCTCATATTAATGCCTGCTGCCATTGGTATACATACAACTGCCACCGGTAATACACATATGCTCATTGCCCCTTTATATAGAAAAATTTATGTATAAACAAAAAAAAACATATATATATCTTTATTTATTATTATTATTATTATTATTATTAAAAATATTTGCTTTATACAAATGAGATGATGAAGAGAAAAAGTAATTTATATTGACATTTTTAAAGTCGTTTGCTTCGAATAAATAAGATGATGAAGAGAGAAACTATTTTGTGTTGCTATTAAAGTTGTTTGCTTCGAATGAATAAGATGATGAAGAGAGAAATTATTTTGTATTGCTATTAAAGTCCTTCGCTTCGAATAAATAAGATGAGGAGAATAACTATATTATATTGCTATTATTAAAAATCTTTACTTTATACAAATGAGATGATGAAGAGATGAATTATATTTATTTATTATTATTAACAAAAATGGTTTGTATGAATAAGATGATGAAGAGATGAATTATATTTATTTATTATTATTAAAAAAATGGTTTGGAAGAATAAGATGAAGAGAAAAATTGTATTTATTTATTAATCTTTAATAGTCCATTGAGCTAGTGGGACTATTAAATCATGGGGATCTATATGGACATGCAAGAAAAATTAGGGTCGGACATGCAAAAAAAGACCAAAAGGGAGAATTAAACGTGACGTCACTTGTAATTGGCCTTTGGGAGTGTTACTGACAAATTGAGCACTGATAAGACATGCAAAAGCAACCAAATTGAAGAATTAAACGTGACGTCACCTATAATTGACTTTTGGGAGTGTTACCAACAAATTGAACACTGATAAGACGCAAAAGCAAGCAAATTGAAGAACTAGACGTGACATCACATATAATTAGTTTTGCATGTTACACGCATTTTTTTGGGGAGTGAGCCTTGATATTTGTTAAATGTTTCAAAATTAATGTTGATTGTAAAAATATAAAAAATGATAATGAGATAGATATAAAGATAAAAATGGAAGATTGTAAAGAAGATAAATATAGAAATATAGATAAATAGAAAGATAATAATAAATTGAATAGAAACAGAAGGGAATATTGATAATAGAGATAAATATAGAATCTAAAAAGTAAAAAAAAAATCTAAAAAAGATATATACGAAAAGTTAGTATAATTCAAGATAATTCTAGTTTAAAAGCCATACCTTGATTGTTAGTACATCAAAGAATAATCTTCAAGGCCATGTTTTTGAATTATTCTTTTATGAAAGGGGTTGATTTTTGGCCAGCAGAAATTTCGAGTGTTTTTGCGCTTGGCAAGAAGAAAGTGGTTTACATCTAAGATAATAATTATCGGTTCCACTTTTTCTGGCAAGGTAGCAAATGGAACAAAAAGACAGTCGCCTGTTTCAATTGGAGTATTCCAATATACAGCCACTGCTCTGCTAAATGTATCGGCTACAAGTTGAGGATGGTCGATTGTACCAAACCAATGTTGCTGGGGGAGAGGTGAGCGCTTGTCTTGGAGACTGCAAATTAGTGGGTTATTGGATGCAGGCATATTGCCATGCTCCATTCTTCCGTGGTAGTAGTTGTTTTGGTGCTTTAAAAATGTTTCTAGCATTTTGTCTTTTACTTTTGACCACTCCTCCTGGTCCTGGTACACTTCCATTGCTATCGCCCTGTACCCACAATTTCCGTCTGCTTCAGGAGAAAAGATTGTTGATATATGTTTTGGTGCGATTGTGAGATTTGTTAGTAATGTGGAATCGCATGGTGACCCAAGGTTGATAATATTTTTTATGGCTTTTTGCTCTTTAGCTGAGGATATTTTTTGCCTAGAAAACAAAGCAAAGATTTAGTAAATTAAATCTAAGCAATATTAAAATCTTACTTTTTTTGTTCTTTTTCTGTTTTAATTTTTTTTGTGATTTTTTCTTTTTTGGTATTGATGCAATGCTCTAATGCAATCATCTTGCGCTTGGTATTTTTTGGTTGGCCTTTAATGGCTTCGACTACTGTTGGGCCCTTAAGGTTTTTGAATTTCTGTGCGTCGATTTTTTTCAAAGTTTTTTCTATCAATTGGTATATATTGATTTGTTCTTGTTCGCTCTGAGCATTGGCAAAATGTTCGCAAATAAGCTCAAGAGCATAGTTGAATTCTGAGGTTATTGGTTTGATATTGTTGATATTTGGGGGTACTGGGGTTGCATTTTGGATAGTTAAATGGTCTACATAATAAAATGTTATATGAGAAAATCGTCACGTAATTATTGCTAGTATTATATATATTACTTTCTCCTTCTAGATAGTTTTTTCTCCAGCGTCTTGGGATGCAGGAGATTGGGATGGTATCGAATTTGGCGAGTGTGTGGTAACAAGGAAGCAGGTAGTTGTATTGTATGAGGCATTTGCACTCTTTGGCTAGTTTTTCGGGTATAATGGATTTGGATAATTCTAATTTGATTTGATCCATTGCAAATCTACAGACTTTAAGACGGATGTCATTTAGTCTGGTGGCATTGACTTTGTTGTATCCAACATAATCGTAGATTTAAATTAAAAGTACAGACACTCAATAAATATGTACATTGAGTTACCGACAACTAGTAACGATACTAAAAGATATACCTTCCCTTATACAAGGAAATTACGTAAAGAACATACTAAGACAAATACTAAGACTCTAGTCAATAACACTAAAAACATAAGAACTAAATCATAGAAGATAATGGTAGAGAAACAGACATTACATGATATCATCATATCATCACCAAGCTAAATACAATGTCTATATAAACGCACAATACTAATAGCAATAGAACAGCATCTCTTTTCTGATTCTTGCACTTCTTCTAATAAAACAAAGTCTCACCGTACTCTCGTCTGCACTCGTTTTATTTTATATCTTATTTTTACCTCATACATAACATTTTTTACGGTGAACTCTTTTTTTTCATTGAAAAACAACCTCTACCAAACATGTCCTCTGAACAAACAACAAGTAACTCTCCGGTCCTGACTGCCCAGAGCGATCTGAGCATGATGGAAGCCCCTGTCAACAACCAAGTCATCAACCATGCGGACCGCACCCTGCAAGCAATAGACCGCCTCAGGGAAATGCTGGCCACTTGTTCCTCGGCACTGGCAGATGCAATCGAACATAATATGCCTGAGGAGAACAAGAACTCCATTCGCCAAACCATTGCAGCGACAGAAGGCGACCTGGTCATGCTGATCTCGGCCCATGGTCATCTAGTGCGCTCAAGTCCGGTTCAAGCTGAGCAAACCGCTCCTCAGTCTCGTCTGGTACCCCGCGAGCTTCCAGTATTTCAGTGGCAAGGCAACGAGTGGGACCACACACAAAAGGTCTATGCATCTATCGAAGAATGCCTGGACAAGTTTGAGGATGTGCTGCACTCGTACAGCATGGACCTCAACGTCGACTGGCACCGCCTCCTCCCAATTGTATTGTCACGCGAGCAAAGATCCTGGTTTGACAACTACTTGCGCAGTTCCCCAGAACTCCCCTGGTCCTTTGCTCGGGATGCCTTCATCAAGGCATATGGAATCAATGACCTTGAGAGACGCGTTCAGCTCACACATGAGCTGATGCTCATGCGTATGCGAACCACAGAGTCCGTCAGCAACTATACGGACAGATATCAGAGGGTACGCCGCGAAGCTGATGTAGCCGATAATATGCAGGCTGCCATTGCCTACACTTCCACGCTGCTACCAGAGCTTGCACGCCAGGTCTCTCTCCTTCAGGTCAACATGCCCAGAGAAAAGCGTGACACAATTGACAAAGCTGCGTCTCTGGCCAGGTCTATTTACAGCACAGTATTCCTAACCGCCCGTAGCAATGAGCCCGTGGCCAGGGCACACACCTTGGGTTCTGAGCAGGTGTCCCGCACATCTTCTTCGTCTTCTGCTGGGCGCTCATCTGGTTCATCAAGGGAGAACGCTCAAAGCCGTGAGCGTTCAACTCACAAGAGATGCTCCCTACATGGTAAAGGTAACCATGACACTGAGGATTGTCGCATCCTCAAGAATGCACTTGCCACCAAGGGCGGCAATCGGGTGGAGAAGGCACCCCACGCCAACAAGTACGTTGGTTCTGCTCCCTGTCGTTGGTGCGGCGAAGTTTGGTCTCACAAACACCGCTGTTCTTCGGTCTCTGGTTCCTCCAGCTCTTCTGGTTCTGCGTCTGGCTCTCCCCGGGGTTCTGCTCCCCACTTCGCCGTCCGCTCCATCCACACTGTCACCAACGACAGTACTCCCTCAGATGCCAGCTCATCTGAGGACGACCAGTCCATGGTCATGGACTTTGAACAGTGCTCCACATGTAAGTATACAAGCACTCACACAGATCACAATAAACGATCTACTCACTCCTATCTTGTTCCTATCTCTTTAGAGGAGGAGAAACTGTGGGCATTGGTGGACACAGGGGCTACTATCAGTTCCGTCAGCACCAAGATCTGTAGCAAGTTGGGCTGGCCCACAATTCCGCGCAACGGAAAAATTGTGTTGGCCACTAACAACGCTATAGCTCATAGACTAGGAGTAACAAAACCAATAAAAGTTTTTTATAACAACAAGCATATTATATATTCATTTGAAGTTTTGGATCTTGCTGAGAACATAGATGTTAGCATTGGTACAGATTTAATGCCAAGTCTAGGTATTCATTTACTTGGACTAGCAGAGAGTTGGTACGGTTCTAATACACCTCAGACTCCAACACCCATAGCAGAAATAGAAAAACCCAATAATGCACCAGCTGGCACACCCACTGAACACTCTCAATTCATGAAGGCTCTACTACCCTTTATTAAAGCAAATGAAGCCATACCCATCACTTCATTTTGTACAGTTAAGGAATCTATTGTACGACTACCAACACCTCCAGGCCAAGTAGTCTATAGACGACAGTATCCTATAGCTTTACAACTTGTTCCACTGATGGCCAAACATATAAACCAATGGCTTACTGATGGCACCATACAAAGGGCACCCGTCAATACTAAGTGGAACAGCCCACTTACATTCGCTCCTAAAAAAGATGAGTTTGGTAATCCCACAGGCAAGCGTCCTTGCTTAGATCCCAGAGCCATCAACACTCTGCTACCTGACGACAGATTCCCTCTGCCACTCATCTCTGAACTCTTTCACAGGCTACGAGGTGCAACAATCTTCACTACGCTAGACCTCAAGAGTGCCTTTCATCGATTCAAAATTTATGAAGACGATAGACACAAGACTACATTCACGTTTGAAGGCAATCAGTATATGTTTCGAGGATGTCCCTTTGGTCTCAAGCCATTGTCGTCCAAGTTTCAGCGAGTAGTCAATTTGATTTATCACGATACTCCATACGTCACTGCATTTGTCGACGACATCGTAGTTTTTTCCACTAACATGTCTGACCATGTTAAACACGTCCAAACGGCTATTCAAAAGCTCACGGATGTCAATCTCATTCTCAATCCGCAGAAATGTCACTTTGCACAAACTTCTGTATCGTTACTGGGTTTTACTGTAAGCACTAGAGGTATTGATCTTGATGCTCGCAAGGTTCACAATGCTACCATGTGGCCACAACCCAAGTCTGGCAAAGACACTCAACGCTTCATGGGTCTCGTCAACTATTTTCGTGAGCACATTCCCAACTTGTCGCAACTGTCTTCTCCTCTGGACAAACTACGCAATGCTGACTCACTACACGGGTTATGGACAGAAGAACAAACGCAAGCTTTTTCCAAGCTCAAAATTGCACTTACACACGCACCAGTACTAAGCCACCCTGACACAACCCAACCATTTCTGGTTGCCACAGACGCCTCCAACACAGGTATAGGCGCCGTGCTCTATCAGATTATAGACAACCAATATCGCTACATTGGTTTTATGGCACGGTCACTTTCCAAATCTGAACGCAACTATCCTGTCACCAAACGCGAACTTTTGGGCATCGTTTATGCTTTGGCTAAATTCCATAAGTTCTTGTGGGGTAACAAGTTCACGTTGTACACGGATCACAAGGCTCTCACGTACCTTCACACGCAAGAAATTGCCAACCCTATGATGATAAACTGGCTTGATGTACTCTGCGACTATACTTATGACATAGTCCACCGCCCTGGCATTGACAATGTATTGCCGGATGTTTTATCGCGCCTTTTCACCTCGGAAAAACCGCTGGGGGAGGGTAAAACCGTAGAAATCTCTACGAAACATCCAACAAAGGACAGAAAACACAAAACACATGCCATTCAACGCATGCATAGCACAAGTGACATGATAACACCACCGGTCAAAGACAGACAGAATCTGCTCGACCAAGCACATCTACTTGGCCACTTTGGCACAGATGCCATAGTAAATGCTATACACAGTGACGGACTACACTGGACTAATCTCAAGCAAGAGGCAACAGAAACAGTAAAGCGCTGCTTGAATTGCCAACGGTTCAATGTCTCAAAACACGGCTATCATCCGCTGAAGCCTATTACAGCCAGTCAACCAGGTGAACACTGGGCCATAGACTTAGCTGGCCCATACACCACCTCGCACAATGGCAATCATTACATGCTAGTAATGGTTGACATCTTTTCCCGATTCTGCATACTCCGCGCAATTCCAGATAAGACATCTTTAACAATTGCAAAACAACTCATTCAAATCTTTTGCGACTTCGGCCTACCCAAGGTTTTACAGTCAGATAATGGTACCGAGTTTGTCAACGAACTCGTCAAGACTTTCACAAATACAGCAGGAATTGATCATCGGCTTGTAACACCCTATCATCCGCGAGCAAATGGAGTTGCTGAAAAATGGGTACACACAGCCAAGGAAGTCATCAACAAGAGAACACAGGGAGCAAAGCGAGACTGGGACATATACATCCCAAGCACACAGCTAGCCATAAATAGCAAACATGCTAAGCTACATGGCACACGCCCATTCACTCTAATGTTTGCAAGACAACCAAACGATTTTGCTGATTACAGAAAAACAGAGAGCACGCACAACGCTCCTAACAGTCTACCAGATATGAAAAAAAAGAATTGAACAAATGGAGACTGTCGTATTCCCAGCAATCTGCGAACGCATCAAAGCTACACAAGCTGCTGATAAAGGAAAACACGACAAAGACCATAAAATAATAATGGAGTTCCCGAACGACAGCAACGTGATGATAAAGAACATATTAAGAAAGTCTAAGACGGACCCAAGATATGAAGGACCATTCACAGTCAAGGGCAGAACAAAGGGAGGCAGCTACATTTTGCAAGACGAAACGGAAGCACTTCTATCACGAAACATCCCACCTTCGCAGATAAAGCTGATCTCACAAGATACTGTTATATCTCCAGATAGCTTTTACGAGATACAGGCTATCATTGATCATCGTCAAGAAAAAGGCGACTACCTTTACAGAGTGCGCTGGAAAAACTATGCACCAGATCAAGACACTTGGGAGCCCACAAGCAATTTCAACGATCTGAGCATAATTAACAAATATTGGCAAAGACGAGGTCCAGAGAAACCCACCAATAAATCTACAATTATACATAACAAGCGTACACATCCAACACAAGAGCCTACACGCTTTAGCAAACGTACACGCAAATAAACAACAGCAACATTGCAGACACATATACCTCCGCATGCAATTCAAACGGTTGTACCAACCTGGAGGGGGGTAATGTTGTATCCAACATAATCGTAGATTTAAATTAAAAGTACAGACACTCAATAAATACGTACATTGAGTTACCGACAACTAGTAACGATACTAAAAGATATACCTTCCCTTATACAAGGAAATTACGTAAAGAACATACTAAGACAAATACTAAGACTCTAGTCAATAACACTAAAAACATAAGAACTAAATCATAGAAGATAATGGTAGAGAAACAGACATTACATGATATCATCATATCATCACCAAGCTAAATACAATGTCTATATAAACGCACAATACTAATAGCAATAGAACAGCATCTCTTTTCTGATTCTTGCACTTCTTCTAATAAAACAAAGTCTCACCGTACTCTCGTCTGCACTCGTTTTATTTTATATCTTATTTTTACCTCATACATAACAGACTTTATCAAACACAATTTTTGTTCCTTCTCCAAGGCTTTCCACCATTAGCCGATGCTTGCGATCTGCAACCTGTACAATTTATAAATATATTATAACCAATAAATGCATAAAATAGTATAGAATAAACTTACCAACTCGTCATATCACTTTTTTACTTTAAGGGTAACTGTCTTCAGTTTACCCAAGGAAGTACCAAGAGAATGCTTGAGAGAAGAATGGGCACTTTCTGCACGGTTCGACGTGCGATTGCCAAAATGGGCATGTTTGTAAACATACATGTTCACCCAGTTTTCCTTGTCTTTCATTTTTCTGATAAAGTATATTAAAAAAAACACGATTTTTTATAGTTAAATACTGTTTACATCAAATTTAAAAAATTTATACGTACTTCTCAAGAAAAGCACTAGCAGCTTTTCCTTGGTCTTTGCAATTTTCCTTTGCAAATTCAAGGTATCCATTTGTTTCGTTTTTTACTTCTTGATGTGTAATGCATTTTAAAGCAATTCGGTCAAGGAATTCTGACAGCTTATCTAACAGGTCTCTCTTTTTGCTACTCTCGTCTCCCTTCATCATCAGAAGCAATTGCTTTTTAAAGTTGTCTTTGATATGCTTATAGCACAACAACTGCTTCAACTCAGGAAAGACTTGAGTAATAGCATTTCTCAATGCTTTTTCATTGTCCGTGATGAAAACATCTGGGAGAAGTGTTGTTTGTTTGTCGTTGCTGCTGTTGCTGTTGTTGTTGTTGTTGTTGTTGTTGTTGTTGTTGTTGTTGTTGTTGTTGTCATCGGGCCAGACTGCATCACGGAGACAGCTAAGCATCCAGAGATAATTTTCTTCTGTCTCATGCTCTACCCAAGCACCGGCAATTGGATACGTCTTTAAAGTGGTACGAGGGTTTCTACTCACATTGCTAGTACCAACAATGTTGACATAAGTCATTTGATGACTATTTGTCTTATATGTGGCATCAATAATGATAGTCTCAAGCATTCTTCGTGCCTCATTGATCGCATCCTGATGCACAAAGAAGACCATATTCACTTGATTGTCTTCTGTATTACCAACAGAATACCTGACATGGAAGTCAAGATCTTGCAGAGTGGTGATAAAGTCAAACATCTCCTTTTCTTTTTCCGATTTTCCGAAATGTTGCTTTATATTAGCAATGTCATGGCGAACAATGTTTGTATATCCATTTATCTTCAAACTGTTGAAGATGGTGGATACATTGTCATTGTTCTCCAGATGCTTAACCACAAGCGCCATTGCCTCAGGCGAGAGCTTGCGGTGCATAGCATATGCTCTGTGGTCTTCTTTGATGGGGTGATTATGCTCTGTCTCACGGGAGCGCACAGTGAGCTTTCCGCCCTTCTTGGTGTTGGCATACATGAAGCAAGAGCAGCCATGCTTCTGCATGTCTTTTTCGCGCTTTCTCTCCCATCCAGGAAGAGTTTCACCCATAACTGATGTTTTGGAAGCAACCTTCTCGGCTTTTCTGATATCTCTATATTCGCCAGAGTGCTTGCAAATCAATTTGATGCGAGAGCTTGATGCATATTCAGTAGTAAGAGCAATGTTATGCTTGACACCATATGCTTTGGCAGCTTCTTGAACAGCTACGACTGAAGAGAATTCTCTTCCAACAAGAAAAATTGAGTTGAACTCAGTCAAGGCAGCATTGTACTTCTTCGACGTCACGCTAACAATGACAAAGTCGTTGGTGTTGTTGATGTTGTTAATGTTGCTCATGTTAAATGTCAAAAAATAATTATGCGCTGATGTTGTAGTAAAAAAGGGCAGTGATTTAATTGGCAATCTGGAGGGTAATTTATCTGATCCCCCCAAAAAAAAATGCGTGTAACATGCAAAACTAATTATATGTGACGTCACATCTAATTCTTCAATTTGCTTGCTTTTGCATGTCTTATCAGTGCTCAATTTGTTGGTAACACTCCCAAATGTCAATTATAGGTGACGTCACGTTTAATTCTTCAATTTGGTTGCTTTTGCATGTCTTATCAGTGCTTAATTTGTCAGTAACACTCCCAAAGGCCAATTACAAGTGACGTCACGTTTAATTCTCCCTTTTGGTCTTTTTTGTATATCCGACCCTAATTTTTCTTGCATGTCCATATCATTGCCCTAAATCATTGGGAACATCCGCGTCACGCATAACCCTGGTACAAGGAATAAGTTTCAGTGATCTTTGCTGTTCTTTTGCTACAGCATAATCGTCAAGACTTTCCAAGAGTGTTTGAAACTATTTTTTTTTCACATTAATTATTTTTCATATATCAATTGATCTCTAAGTATATTACCTCATCACTTCTCCAGCTAGAGTAATGAGCCTTCAGGCGTTTACTGCCCACTGATCTAGTTGTCTCATCGTCTGTCTTACCATCAGACATTGCTGCCTTTGAAGGACATGAGCATAATTGTCTCTTTTCATAACCGTATTAATAGCTTCTTTGTTTTCAAGGTAAGCTACAGAATGCTGGCAAAGAAGCTGTACATACATTTAAAAAATAACAGTGAGTATTAAATAATATATATATACATATCTAATTAGACACTTACTAACAAACCACGCTAATGTCTTCTTGATGCAGTTCTTTTTCTGTTTGCAGATGAAGGCGTTCTGCGGGACTCATGGACCTGGTTGCAAAAATGGTTTTTTACCATACATGCAAGTTCACTTGTAAGTATGCCAGCAGATTGGGGTTGGATCTGCAAATATGCAGTTAGAGCTAGTGCAAGACCATGGTTATAGCCATCTGTAAAGTAGCTTATAAGGACCCATTCTGGCTTTGTGGCATTTGCAGCTACTTTTCTTCAGTCACTACTGCTGAAGTTCCACTTTTTCAGATACCCATTGATCAATTTCTATGAGAAAAGTGTTAGATGTCTTGACCATTATTCTCAAATCAAATCTTATTGAGATTGCTGGATATCTCTTTCCAGGCACATAATCATCTTCCATCAATGATGAAAGACCAGTGACCGCTTCAATGTCTGATGTAACATTGTATCTGGAAGCAGTATTCTGGACAACAGTTTGACCAGAAACAATATTTGCTACTGTTTCCTGAAGACGAGTTGTGATATCATTGGACTTGGTGATACTGGTGGCCATGCTTGCAATTTGGTCTGTAAGACTCTTCATCTGAGCATTAAGACTGGCCAGCATTGCCAGAACTGGATCGGCCACATTATCATCAACATGGCTACCTGCCGGTCTCATGGTAGGTGTATACATAACCAATGTCAGACCAGTATTGTTGTTGGGCATGATGTTACGTGCAATAGCCGCATGCACAAAGTTATTCTCAGAGGGACTGTTAGAGGTGAAGTTGTTCATTTTCTATATAGAATCAAATATTAATATATGTTAGCTAATGAAATAAGCTTGACACAGTTTCTGTTGAATTTATACATACAAATAAAGAAGGTGATTGAGAGAGGTTAATTAAGTAAAGTTGAATCCCTATTTATTACAAATTTTCAACTATAGTAATTATTTAAACTACATATGTTTCAATTCGGAGAAGTATATATCTTTGGGTAAATTAATCACCTTTTTTTTGAAACATTGTTTATCTGCCGCTTTTCTTTGGAATCTATATATTTGAAGTCAAGTTATTTTCTTTCTTTCTTTTCTCTTTTGCACTTTTTGACACAAATATATGGTAAAACATTTTCCTTTTTTTTTGCTTCTTTGTTTTACTTTGATGTTTTACTTCTTTACTCACCACTTTTTGTCTTCCAACAGTTGGACAAGTTATATATTTCTTTTTTTGGTAAAGTATCTAACTAGAGACATGCCAATAAATACATGTTTACTTAAGTATTTATTATTTACTAATAATGCCAACAATATAGATACCATTATATCCTTTTGATGCCACCCACAATAATATTCACATCTCATATTGTGGTATGTCTTTACAAAATACATGTATTCTAACTTTGCTTTTATATCCATCTTTTCTTTGTAAACATTATTCAATTAGGTCCGAGTATTATTTTCTTAGAACAATAACATCTGGTAAGTTTTTTTTAACAAGCAAATCATATATACACTCATTATAAACAATACTAAATGTGATATCTTTTGGTAGCAATTAGCACACCAAGAGCTTTAATCTCGTAGTATTTACTAGCTGTCAATTATTAGTTTATGACAATTGTATCAAGCCCATAAGTATCAATTTTCTTATATTTTATTTTCAATAATATCATTTAATATATATATCTTTCTTTTCTTGTGTTATATAGTTGACTATCTCTTCAAGTAGATATTAGTGTAAGTGCTTTAAACAATAACAGTTCAATAGTATATGGTAGAAAGTATTGTTATAATCAATAGTTTTACAAAATGAATGTACTAAAAAAACTAGAATACTCGTCAAGAAAATATTCTTTTTCAAATATCAAAATAAACAAAACAAAAAAAAATTTACTCAAAATAATACAAAACCGCTTCCTTAAAATGTATGATTTCTCAAATGTGAAATGCTAAGAAATATACTTTTCTACAAATTTGTGCTATAAAACCATAAATTAATATACAATGAAAAAAGAGAAAAATGTTCCTGCTAAAGAAATATTTATGTCTGATTCAAAAATGAATGATCTCCCACAAATTTTATATAATAAAAATATAATTGTCCGCAAATTCGTATCATAAAACAAAAAATAAATATACAATGAAAGAAGAGGAAAGTGTACCCACTAAAGAAGTATTTTTAATGGCTTAAAATGAATGCTTTCCTATAGATTTTATATGATAAAATACATTTTCCCACAAATTTGTATTATATAACTAGAGAAAAAATATACAAAAAAATATAGGGAAAGTATAGATGCGAAAACAGTATCCATATCTGGTTTTTTTTAGATTAAATAAAGATCTAAAATGGAATATAATGACTACATGTATCAAGAGCACAGAGTATACACTCCTTATTTCTATTCAAATACAATTAATGGACTAAGAAGTGTTATTGTTACTCAGTAAAACAATACTTACTTCATGATTTTAAACTTCTATCTATCTGGTATAAGTATACTAGATATTTCACGGGTAACATTCCTAAAATTACACAGAAATCGCGGCTTTAAACTCAATATTTGCATACTTTCTACTCAATAAAATCATATAATTTTTGTAGTGCAGTGGTCTCATCATAGTCATCTAATAAATCACTGTTCAGCAAAAAAAACAGGTTATTATCTATTTCAATATTGCATTACTAATTTTTACTTACAATAGAATGTGATCATTACTATATTCGTCTTTGTCAGAGATTTCATGGCCGTATATGTCCTGAGAGTTTTCAATAACAAATTCCATTGGAGCAGGTCCATTATTACTGTTCAGATTGGTAGTGGCATTGCTTGCAGAAGAAGAAGGGTCATCAAACATAGCAGGTCTAATGTGAAGTTTTATAGAATAAAATCAACAGTAAAAAGATTGAGACGTATATAAGAATACTTTGAGACTGTATATAGGTTGTCTTTATTAAAGAATACAAAGTTGTCCTTTTTATATCAAAACACGATTTGCTTTGTCAGTCACATCTTAATTTCTTAAGTCTGAGTTCATTTAGATATTAGAGAGCTGGTACTGCTATGTTTATAATTTAATCTAATTGCAGTGTCCTCATATTAACTCAGTGCTTACTGAGCTGTCATAATTACAGTACTTACTGTAATTAATTATTGGTCTTATTGATTTACCATAAGTAAAATAAATAAATTATTCATTTGTTTTTGTAATGATAGCTGTTTTACGATAATAATAGGAATATGTTCTTAGATGTAATAAATCCAACAACCAAGTGTCTGGATCACCACATCTAATGTTAAGATATGCTCAATTTCAGCTTTACATTACATAGTATTTTTCATCCTACTTTTAGGATTAACTTACCTTCTTTTCAGAAGTTTCTCATACTCCCCCATTATGTTTGGATGTTTTTTTGTATAATGTCTTCTGAGGCCTTGCAAGAACCCTAACACTCTTTCGGTTTTGCAGATGGTGCGCACAAATGTTTGGTTGTCTGTAGTCATTGGTGTGAGAAATGTGTTCCTCTTTGTTGTGAAGTGATTTTCCATGTTTAAAAATCTTTGGAACAAAAGATGTAGAAAAATGTAAACTAATTCGAGGTGCCATATCTTTAATCATGCAAAAAATTACTGCTAAAAAAATAATGTGATATAATGTGAGCTAATTTTTTTTTGTTTACTTGTTTTCTTCTTTTTCTTTTTTTTCTCATGACTGAAAGATAAGTTTCAAGCAAAATCTAACAAGATAATAGCATCCATCATACCAAACACCCTCAGTAAGTAATATATTTATTATGCCCTACTTCATATTGATACTAATATATATATTTTATTAGATTATATGGAGATTCCAACATGAGATTGTATTAGGAAGTTACTTTAAACTATGCCAAGCTGTCTGTCATAGTATTATAACGTATCTACTCCTAACATAACTAAACAAGCAGTCTTTTCCTTTACTTCTGTTAATAACTTCACCCTCATCTCTTTAGGTAAGTCTCATATATCACTGTCTGTCTAGTATAAAAAGGTAATTTACCATATTATTTACTTCAAAGGTCATAACACTAATACTTTGTTTCTGTTTAATAGTTGTTCATTTTGACTTTTACTATGTCTATCTCCCAGTCCATTGCATAAGAGAGGCTGTTATACTAGACTAGCTACTAGTATATAGAACGTATAATTCTAGTACTATTTTTTATTGAAACATTTTTTTTGAAACACATTTTTTGAAACCCTATAATTGCAATTATTGGACCCCCCATTTTTCAGATTTTTTGTATCCATCTTTTTTTCTATTTATAGTAAATTCGAGCAGATACTTCATATTTCACTTTAGGAAATTTTCGTCAGACCAACTTTAAATCTAGCTGTACCTACTTATTTTCTTGCGCGCCGAGTTTAAATTACTTGGGTGGTCTACTTTTTTATGTCGCAAGGGGCTTTAAATTATAAGGATGTGGCTTTTCCATATAGAGATTTTGCAAGGTGGCTTTTGTTAAAACATTTTTTTGCTATGTTTTTTTTTCTTCTCTCCTCTTTATTTTAATTACATATACAATCATAATACAAGCTCACCAATGTTCAACACTATATTCAACCTTTCAAATGTGCAGAATGCTTTAGTCAACTCATCTACAGAAGGAATAAAAATGCTTTCTTTGGATGTTGTAGTGAAAGTAAAAGCAAGTGAATGGGAGCAATGCCTTGATCACATTCAATCACTTTGTTCAACAAAGTAGAATAAATGTAGAAAACTTCGTGCAAGAGAATTGATGTATGGAGAGATAAAAAAATGTCACCAAGCAGGATTTTATATATCAGACAGAAATGTTCGTCTTGCTCAGAAAGACACTAAGCTTTGTTATTGCGAAGCCACTATTTTCATCAAGCAATACATCAACAACCCTGAAGTAGTTTTAATTTGTATGACCAACGATCATACCAACCATGTTCCTGGCGACGCTTCTGAAATTAGAACATTGCCTTTACCTTCTGAGGTCATCAAAATTATTGAAGATCAGTTAAAAGGGGGCAGCACTTGTAGAAATACTAGAATTTCAGTTTTGAAACAAATTGAAGAGTGGGGCGTAGGCATTAGAAAGCCCAATTATGAAGACATCTATAACAGAATGAGAAAGGTGTGTGAATAATACTATAAGAGAGAAGTTATTTAAAAAGTGTTAAATAAAAAATATAGATGAAGAATTTACTGTATAAGTTTCACCCTGATGAAAATAAGTCTCTGGATATTTGGATGCATGAGAAGTTACCATCACAGAACTACTGTATCTTTACTGGCAATCTTTCTGCATACAGCAACAATGCACAGAATTTTGCGTTTGAATTTCAATCACCATCTCAAATGATGCTTATGAGAATTTCCCAGTCGTTTTGTCTTAATGCAACACACAACATCTCTGCACGCAACATTGAAATATTATACTCACTTGTTCCTCGTCATCCTGATACTGGAAAAGGGTCTCCTGTTGCATACATGATTACAAACGATCATAGTGTTGGCCCCATTAATCAATGACTTGTACATCTTCGCAAGAAAAGCTGTTTCACTCCCTTATATATTACCATCGATTGTAGTATTGCTGAAGTTAATGCAATTACAGCAGCATTGCCACAGACCATCATCCATTTCTGTGAGTTTCATGTTTTGCATGCCTGGCAGCATAATTTAGACAGCAAAGTAAAGTTTGATGCTTCATACACATCAGAACAACTTGGCAAATACAAGTATGAGCTCAAGGCCGATCTCAAAAATATACTTATTGAATCAGATGAGAATGAATTTTTGAGAAAAATCCAGGAGTTTAGGCTTTGTGTACAAAGTCAGCAACAATTCCTGGCTTATTTCGAATGTAAATGGATTGGAACAGAAGAATTGTTGAGAAGATGGGGAAGGCCATATGTTGCAAATGACCACCAAAGATATTTGACAAACAATTACATCGAATCGTGACACAACCAATTGAAAATAATATACTTTGGCCATACTCGCATAAGACGATTGGACCGTCTTGTCTTTATTTTGACAAATGATGTGGAGTTCTTTTATGATGAAGAAGTGGAACGAATCCACATACAAAATGGATGAATGTGTCCAATTGAAAATGAACTTGCTCGACACTCTTTTTCTGCCAATATCATACAAGATGACATGCTCCCTTTCATGATCATTAATCCTCTTAATGAGATTGGCAATAGCATGGAAGACTCTAATGGCAAGTGGACAGTAAAGTCATTTACAGGTGAAGCACAATAGTATCAGGTTAATGTATCAAACAATTTGATACAAAATTGCACTTGTCCCAATTTTGCTTCGCGTCAAATTCCCTGTAAACACGCACATCTCCTAAAGAGATTTATTGGTCTAGACTTTGCGTATACAGTTCAAAGGGAAAACAACCACCTCCAACTGCAAAGATCGCTTGCATCTGAGCATGAAGTGGCAGTTGTTAATGAGAAAGTTGAAAATGAAACAAACACAGTTGTTGTAAGTGGTAGAAACAATTCTGTTTGGTTGCAAAGAATCATGGCCCAGAATACAACACTTTATCATCAAAGAGAAGACTTAGAGCAGTTGATAGATGTTCCAGGAATTGATGAAGCTGAATTACAAGCGATTAGTGGTTTACTTAGGGAAGCAATAAATGGTATAGACACTCTTAGAAATGCAAACTCTTCCCGCTTTAGAAATCTTAATACACAAAGATAATAAAAAATTACAATTATGTTCTATAATAATATGTTTTGATAAAAAGAAAAAAATATAAAAAAAAACATTAAGATTCCAAAAGAAACAACAAAAGTAAAAGCTGTCACTGCTTCTACACATCCTTATAATTTAAAGCCCCTTGCGATATAAAAAAGTAGACCCCCCAAGTAATTTAAACTCGGCGCGCAAGGAAATAAGTAAGTACATCTAGCTTGGACATTGAGTTTAAAAAAATTTCAGTAGGTGTGTATACTGACAGTTCTTTAAAGCCTCCAATCATCAACAATAACAAAAAATATGTCTTTAAAATTATGGACCAGTTATATGTTCTTTATTTATTTGGTTTCCCATTCTTATTAGATTGGTAATGATTTACAGTTTTATTTTTATTAGAAAGAATAGAATGTTTCTAAATTTTAAATCTAATAAAACTATTCTATATTCTCAGCTACTTCTTGCTCGGCCGGCTTGTTATATTTGAGATAAAAGATTTTCTACAAAAAACAAATATCTAAAGAAAATGAGATGCTTGTTATTGTTTTTAGAGATAAGAGCAGCACTCTTTGATAATAGATAAAACATTAGTGATGGGTGTGTGTGCGTATTTTAGACAGCAACATTTATATACTAATTAATACTTACATTGGAAGTACCCAGTACAAATGGATAAAGAAATAAAAATTTATAGTAAAGCACAAGACTATGATTTCTTTGACTATAAAACAATAGAAAAGAATTAATATTTGTGAATTGTGTGATAGAATAATTGATTTACATACCAAAGGCAAAAGATTTCTTTGCAGACTAAGATATTATCTGTAAAGTGATAATATTGTCTCTAGTAGAGGATATACATTAATATACAGTATAAATAATATTATTATATGTATAGAAATAAATAAAAGACTTACCATAGAAATGACAGTAGCATGGGATGGAAGTTGTTGAGGTATGGCAAGTTTGTAAAAGTAATATTCATCTATAATAGAGTAGAATAGAAGATGAATACAGTAAAAGATGGCAAGTAGCAATAGTTTACAGATAAGAAAAAAGAGAACAACTGATAGAATCATTGTTAAATGTAAGAGAGAGGGAAAGATGTATGAAAAGAGAATGATGAAACAGAAAAGTAATAACTGACAAGAAGATCAAAATCAAAAAACAATATTTTTAAAACCAAGGAATCAATATATTATATTGCAAGATGGTATAAACCACAAAGAGAAGAAAACAAGAAAAAGATATTGAATTGGATCAAAAAATAATATTTTATTAAAAATTTCTTTTCTTTTATAGATAAAGAGATTTAAAGTTGATAGTAGAAGTTCAGAAAAGTAAAGATAGTACAAATAGAATGATGAGTAATCAAAACAGCAAGAATAAAATATATGAATAAAAATAAAATAAAAATATAATAATAAAAGTACTGGTGTTGTTGTATGGAGATATTGGCAAGATGAATTGTGTACATTGTAGAAGAGAAATGTTACTAACGTGTGTAATCATGATTTCAAATGAGTATAATATGAATGAATATGTTAACAAGGGAAAAGGAAAAAGTATTATGTGCAGAAGGAACATGGAATGGAAACAAGATTTTTTCTGTGCAAGGAAAAATTCTCCTATTACCACCAAGGTCACAGCATCACATCAACAAATCATTGACGTCAGCCTCTCATAACTGGGACAACACATCATGACAAACCGCCAGACAAACCCATCAAGCAGACTGACCTTCTGGTACTGTACACTATAACATGGCCAAATGCCAGACTTGCCCACAACACACATGACAGAGTAACATGTGTGGTACTTTGTTGTGTGTATGGTGTGTACAAGAAAAGCAAGATATGGGTAATAATAAGAATTGAATTCTGTAATAAAGTAGGGTTATTTGAATTGGGAAACGATTGTAATAAAATATAAATTAAATAAAAGAAACTACTTCTAGAAGAGAAAAATAAAAGGAATTTCAGAAGGGAAGGAATATCTAGAACTAGCAAAAGAAAACAAATACTGTTAATTTAAAATAAACTAAGTTAAGAGAAATATTTAGAGCTTAGAAGATTGAAAATTAACTAAGAGAATTTCTAAGGTAATTTTAAAATGAAAAATAAAAAGAAAATTTAATAAAACAAAAATTATAAAATTCGAGGGGAAGAAAAATAATAGAAAATAGTCAATTTTCCATAAAGACTTAACAAAGAAAAACAGTAAATGGAAGAAAAATTCATAAGAGAGATTAGGAAAAGTAAACAGCATCTTTAGAAAAAACGTTTGTATCAGAAAAATTCGATTATTGTTTATTGATTGATTTTGAAGAGTTATTTATACTACTTCTTGGATAAAATTTATGACAAAAATAGGTTGCACTAATGTCTAAAAGATAATTGTAATAAAAAGATAGATAAAATAATTGTAATCATGATTTGTTATAAAAGAAAAATAAATGAAATTATAATATATAACTACGGAGAATGGAAAAGATCAGAAAGAAGTATGTTATAAAGAAATAAAAAAACTACAGTTAACAATTTTGGTAAAGTAGTGTTGAAAGGAAAATATTATATTTAGTGCATAAGAAAAGTAAGAAAAATAAAAGAGGAAAAAACTAATTTTGGGAAAGAATAAAGGGAAGGGAAATTTGTCTTTATAAAATTGGAGAAGAATAAAAATAAAAATATTGAGAAGTCAAATTTTTAGAATAAGAAATAAAATTAATATAAATAAAATTAAAATTAAAATTAAATATAAAATTATAATTGGGGGTTTGAGACTTTGTGACTGATTAAAAAGATTGAAATCGATTGAAAAAGAGACTGGTACTGCAGCCAATAAAAACCACAATGTACCGTGTCACAGCTGACATGTGTGAGGTTTGTATTTGTAGTAAATGTTGATAGGTGATGTTATCATAGTTTTTGAAGTTTGAATGAGTTCGTAGATGTAAAATAATCTCTCTTTTTCATAAGAGAGAAAAAGACAAACTCAAAAGAGAATATAGAATTAAAGATAATAAAATCAATAAGAGAAAAATAAGAGAAAAACAGTACTATTAATTAATTTTGATAGACTTGACTCAATATACTCAGATAATCAAACAAGTAAAATATCAACAGCATTAAATATTAAGAGAACTTGTTGTCAGAAAATAAGATGAAGAAAAATCAATGTTTATTAAATACAAGTATTGTAATATTTATAGTTTTGCAATTGAATTGTTGAATAATTAAATAAATAAAATTATAAAAAAAATAATAAAAGTTATATAATTAATAATCTATTAAATATCATTTGTTCTTTACTATCATTAAGTACAAATAAAATAAAATAATTATGAAGTCATAATCATGAAGATAATTATGCTTATAAGAATATATAATAAAAATAATATTAATTGTGGTGATCCAGACACTCGGATGTTAGATTTATCACATATAAGAACATATTCATATTGGGATAGCATAGTAGCTATCATCTTGTCAGTATAAAATATATATAAACGATTAAGTAATCAGCCCAATAATTATTACAGTTAGTACTGTAGATAATATCTTAAAGATTGTTAAGATAATTATATCATACTGCCGGGTAAACTGTGTTAGATCGATATGGAGCTAATTTAGTAGGAAGTCCTAAAGCTCTAGTATAAAAGAGAAAAGAATAGCTAAGAGCTAAAGAAGTACGATTTATGACTTGATGTCATAATTGTAACACCAACACTAGTTAAGCAGTAAATACACTCTAATAACCAAATATAGTAAAGGAAGAAAGCCTTAAGAAACTAAGACGTAATGACAAGAGCAGATTGTGTTTTCTTATAAAAAAGGATACTTTTTATTTATGAATAAAGACAACTTATATACAGTCTCAAAGTATTTCTATACGTCTCTATTCTCAAATATTTTATTTTTCTATTGTTTCGTACCTGAAATACCACATTAATTCCAAGTTGATTCACTCAGTTAAATATAGTGAGAAAATAATATACAATGTGTGATTGCCTGAAGTTATTGTTAACAGGATAATGCTTTTTTGTTGTACTTATTGGTGTTTTGCTCTACAAATAGAAAAATTACATTCTATTCAGCCTTGGCCGCCGTCAGAAAATCAAAAAAATAATAATAGAATATAATTTTTCTAGAATTACAAAGAATTTTGCAACTGTACTGCACTACTGGACAACCGAAATTTTATTGCTTGTTTATTATTTTATTATAATACTTCTTGTCACAGTAATGATTGCCCGGCTAGCTCAATCGGTAGAGCGTGAGACTCTTAATCTCAAGGTTGGGGGTTCGACCCCCCCGTTGGGCTTCAAAAGTTTTAAAAACACTTATTTTTATCTACAAATTTGTCAGACATTATGTCGTTCCTGATCTGAGATAGTGTCGTTCCTGATCTGGGATGGTCTTCCTTTTACTATAGCAAAGTCAAAAGGTCAAACCCACTGGGGATCGGAGAGTATATGTAAAATCGAAGAGAGGATAAAAAGGTCCTTTTTATTGATAGGAATTGAATTGTCTTATATAGTTTTCTAAACTAATACTGCGCATTATCCGCAGTAAACTATTATACTCTATTTAATTACAAGAGAAGTCCTTTTACTGCGGTTGATGCTCAGAAGATGTTACTGTGGTTAATCTTTACAAGACATTACTGCGGTTCGTTATCTATGAGGTATCTTTGACATACAGAACTGCTGCAGTCAATTATCCCGATTTCTCGGATTCATCAAAATAATGTCCGACATCACCCCCTCTCGAAACTGTTGATCGTCCTCGGTCAACTCTGGTAGACTCTATCATCGAGAACGGCAAGGTGGAAGAGGAATCTATGGCCAGATCACGTCGCATATTGTTACGAGCAGCGGTCGGGTGATACCAGGTGCGGTCGAAATCGTCGGATTTGGCTATTTTGAGGCGGTCAGCATGAACCCAAGAAGTATAAGGGACACCTTCCATTGTTGTGAGCTTGTATATATTCTTATCGAAATTTTTATCTACTACAATATATGGGCCCATCCAGTTATATTCTAGTCCAAATTTGTTTTCATGCCGCAACAACAAATGTTCACCGATTGCGAACTGATGAGGTTTCATGATCGAATCCCATCGTTCCTTGTCTTGTTGGCTGTTGGCGGTTACTCGAGCGTCAGCATTTTTGCGAGCCTGTTGGAGATTACGAAGAAAAGGGATAGCGCCATCGGATACGAGGGTCGGGTCGTCAGGGATAGATGTATCCATAAATGGACGTAGGGGATCGCCAGGAATATGAGGTTCGCGGCCATAAGTCAAGAAAAATGGACTGAACCCAGTTGTACGATGCTTTCTGATTCGGCAAGCCCAAAGTGCTGTTTCCAGATATTCGTCCCACCGGTGAATGGCACCATGTACATATTTACATAACATCTGTTTAAGAACACTATTTAACCTTTCACATTTTCCATTAGTACGTGGGTGAAATGCTGAGGTTAATTTATGATGGAGCTTAATTTTCTTAATGTAAAAGCTCAAAATATGTGACATAAAGTTTGCACCACGATCTGTCAGAATTTCGTCTGGGCAACCAAAACGCATGACTATTTCTTCGTACAAAAAGTTGGCGATGGCTTCGCCCGTAGCAGCAGGAACAGCACGTGCAATTGGCCAATTCGTAGCGTAGTCGACGGCAACCAAAATCCATCGATTTCCGTTGATTGTAGTGGGAAGTTCTCTAATGAAGTCGAGATGCCAACGAGAGAAAGCAGGGGGGATATCCAATGGTTCCAAAGGGGCATGGTGTATGTTGCGTTCTGCGTTTGAGGCCAATTGACATTGATGACATTTCGATAACCATTCTTGAATTTGACTTCTCATGGCTGGCCACCACCAACGCTTCTTCATTAAATCATACACTGTTGTTTCTCCAGCATGTCCGAAACCATTGTGGAAATTATTTACTAAGTCTGCACGCTTGGCAAACAGTGCAAAACGAATTTCTTGTACCGTGTCACCTATTTTAACGAGACGGAAAACCTTTTGGTCGTGGACCACAAACTTATTGCGTTGCCGATGGAGTAATTCTTTTATGT